ACCAATAGATACTATAGATTACCGTTAATTTAAAATATTTCAATTCAGTCGATGAGTGTTGGAAATTTATTTTTACAGTTATCACTAGTCAATGATCATTTCCACTTTAGGATCGGTACAAAAAAAAAAAAAAAAAAAAAAATAATGGAGAAATAAAATTTTGTCTACCACTTTGGTTACCTAACCTTTCCTATAATAAACCAAATTTTAATATAACAAAATACTAAGATTATTAATTAACAAGTCATAAGAATAAAAATTTTATATAATAATTATTTTTTATTATTTTAAGATAGAATGAAGTTGATATTATTTTTAAACGAATATATCCATTATCGGTGTTGTTTTTTCACTTTTATTTCTAACACGTTTCTATGTAATTACAACATTTATGAATAATCTGTGTAAAATAACTGTGACAAATATCAAATATAATAAAATAATACATCTATCTCAGATTATTAAAAATTAAATACCATAAAAAAATAAATTGTAAATAATAGTCGGTTGGTTTGAATTTTATTTTTCATATTCATAACACAATTTTTGGTAGCAATATTTTAAAATTTAAAAAAATATCCTTGTGTAAATCTAGCATAGTTATTATTCTCATATGTGTATTTTATTTTTGCACGGTGCAGCAAACTGGAATCAACAGCGGACCGGATGAGACACGGCAATCAATCGAAAAACGGTCTACAAAGGATACTTGGTAAATTCAAATTCTGGCGGTTTTTACGTTTTAAAAACAACAAACCGTAACGATCGTACACACGGTGATTTATATTATTATGTGGATAGGTATTATAGTTTTGACCACGTAGAGCGCACTGTGTTTACTATACATTAACGGGTGTTAACCGATGACTTATATTACACTATAAATATTTATCATGTACATAGATAATATTAATATAATAATATAATAAAATGATTGATTTTTAATAAATTCCATCATATTTATTCCACATCCGGAAATTAAAATGGTTAACGGTTAGCTCGTGAACAATTATTATCATCATAATGTAATAAATAATATCCGATTTCTTATTATTTTTTCCATAGAAATAATTTATTATACAATACATTTAATTTTAATATAAATAATAACGTGGTAATAGTAATTATTAATGAGTTCGTGTAGTTCGGCCTCTTGATAGGTACAACATCAGTTAAATTTTCCTGAAACAAACAGAACATAAATAAACACGGAGTGTGAATTAAATTATTTATTCAAATATTCATGACGCAGAAAAGCGCGGTATTCAACATAACACGAATATTAAAAATATTTCATTTAACCCATTAAATAATAGAATCCTTCAACACGGTTATATTTAAACTTTATTGCTATTATTATTATTATTATTATTGTCATAATGTAAGGAAAACAAAATTATATTTAATGTGTAACATTGTGTGTAGTGTATTTGTACTTAAGGCTTCCACTTTTGTAAACCTCATTTCTGTGATTTATATTTGTATATGTGTAACGTATATGTAGCATAATAGTATAGCAGATATTGTATCTAAACTATAGATTTAAGGATGTATTAATTATTAATTCACGAATTAAGTCTGATAATATTTGTTTTCTTTGTTAGTCAAACGACCAATTTTATAAAAATACAATAAAAATTAGATATAAAACTATTATAATAAAGCCTATTATATTATTTATAAAACTCATTTTATGTGTATTATAAAAAAATTTTCATTCAAATAAATTTCTTAGTGTTTTATATTTAGTATAAAATATTCTACTTCATTATGTCATATTGTGTTGTATTTTTTTCAAAAATTATATATCTACATAGCTTTTACTTTAACGGTTTACAATTTTATTCAATATCAACAATATTTTAACTACGACTATGCAAAACTTACGAATACCTGAGTCTATGTCAAAGAATGCGTACTCGATGTAATAAAAATATACAGAATTATACAAAAATAGTTAACAAATGTAGTAGTAACTTTTGTTTAATAATATTTTTTCACATGATATATATATATATATCTAAATTTATTAATTTATAAAAATAAAAGTTAACGATTTCTTATTATATACATATTTAGTAGTTATATATATAAATTATTTTTTGTTACATCCTGTCAACAATATAGGTACTATCACAAATTATTTGATAGTATCGTTCCTTACTCGATTTTTAATGGCTTTAACATTTAATTGAACCGCTATTAACAGTAACTAAACAGTTACACTAACTCACTCATAATATTATCACAATGATACACTATATTATTATGCACAGGATCCCATAAGATGAGTTGGTAAGCTATCGCCATTAAAATATAGGTATGTATTTACGTACGATTTAAGCTTTATCTCTACACTTGTCTTTTTTTCAAATAACGTAAATATCATTTGCTACATGTCATACATATATTGTTCATGCCGTGGGCTTAGATTCAAAAGAAGCTGACTAGATTATTTTTGAAGATCTGTTTTTTTTTTTTTTTTTTTTTTACTCATACTTAATATATTATAACATTTATTCACAATTTTATTTTATTTAAACTAATAAATAACCATAAGCAATATTTTTGAGCATGAATATGATTAGCAACCAAAATAATTTTGCCAATAAATTGTAATTTAGACTCATTATTTAAAGAGTTATCGAAAACCTTTTAAAGTTCTAAATCAACTAATCAACTCAGCTTATAAATATATTATTTAATATTTATTTAATTTAAACTTTAAGTCCTTGGTGATACCGTTAAAACCAATAGATTCCAATAAACATAACTAAATAAGTGTTGATCAAAAAGTATCATTTTATATTTATTGTGTTAATCATTTAATAATAAAATTATGGTACAATATTATTAGTTATTTTATACTTTCACTGACAAACTAAAAATTTTGTAAATAAATAAATAATTATACTATCATATTATTTTTATTAAAATATCAGTATAATATTTATCTCGTTTCGTCCTCTTTTTTTATTTTAAACAAATTAAGTTTCGTGGTAAACGTATTATGTACATTCAATTTTTCTTTTTATTAGTCTTTTTATTATTATTAAAAAGCGTAATTACAGTTTATACATTAATGTTTATACTATAAATATTTTTTATAATAGTTTAAAATAACGGGAAATTACAGAGTCTGAAGGTTCTCAGTAGTACCATCCAACAAATTTCCAACTTAAAATAAAAAAATAAATGTATAACCAAAAGGTTTTATCTGTATAAAACTTTTTAGTTTATATTCCTTACATTATCTTCTTTTTTACGTCAATATTTTCTTATAGGATATCTCCAAATTATGCAAGACTTAACCCATAGCAACTTTTCAAATTATTATTTGAATCTGGCAATCAATAAGAAAAAAATCATTAATCACTAAAGAAGATAAATCTTTTATATTATTTGAAGTTTAAATTACTCTTCTGAACAATATAATTTTATATTCCTAGACAGCGTCTTTTGGTTCCAAACCTGCGTTCACTATAATAACGATACCTACATGATATTATTATATATATATATATATATATGTGTGTGTGTGTTTATATATTCCATACATTTACATTTCTATGATATATATAGATAGTAGATATAATATTTAATATAAATTATGAATAGACGTAAATTAATCGGGACGCTGCGAATACATTTCTAACATCGTGCCAAATCTAAATAACGTGATCCTTGGAGCAAGCACGCATACATAATAATGTTATAATATAATGTTATTAAAATAACAATAAATTATTATAAATTTATAACAATGTGTATGTACACCGTTGAAAATTTTATACACGATTGTGACGAAGAAACTGAGGTGTCGTTGAACATACAAACCGCACTTATATGTACATTTACAGCTTACAGTATTACGAGTATATAATACGTGCATAGGTACATACATATATACGATATATACGTGTGTACAAATGCAGCTGCGGATCGAGAGCATCAAGTATTTTTTTTTTTTTTTTAATAAATGTTACTATATCATAATAATATATTAAAATCGCAGACTATTTTGGGCCATGGATCTGCGCTGCAGCAGTACGTGCTGTGCGGCTTTATCGACGTTTAACGCACCCCCTAGTGCTTACCCGATATATAATATTTATGTCAATATAAAATATGTAACTGTGTAAAAGTGTGTTTTTGGACTTATCTTCAATAAAATTTCATGTTGGCAAAACGACCAGAAAAAATAGGTTTGATTATTATGTGCAAGCCCAGATTAAGGGAGGGCAGGAGGGGCCAAGTTCCCGGGGCCCACGTGTGCTAAGGGCCCATAGTTTTCTCGGTTTAAAATTACATTAAGTGATAATTTGTACTTTTTATAGTACCTACATTAGTACCTACAAGAATATTTTTATTTTTTCTTGTTTGAGCTAACAGTCGACGAGGCCCGTCGACCGAGTTTACCAATAGTATGGTAAATGGGGACACAGCGTCATAGCCAGGTTTGTGTTTGTTGGGAATAGGCATACATTTTGACATTACTATATTTAAAAATAGAATTGGGAAAATTTGTTTATGTGACTGTCTCGGTCATGGATATTCATAATTCAGATACCTGCCGACTAAACCTGTTTACATAAACAAAACTTAATGTTATGTGTAAATATATATTTTAATGAAAATATAATATTTTCTTAATATTTTTATCCTCATCAATCGTTATCATATTTAAATAAAAATGTTTAAATTTGTTTTATTGTATAATTTTATAATTTTAAAGAATTGTTTTTATTGACGGGGGCCCACAAGTCACAACCATGTATTGGTCCCTGGGCCCCTGAAGCTCTTGATCCGGGCTTGAATTTATGTGTATCCGTGTCAAGACCTACCCCAGACCGACGACCCACTCGTTCGTGCAGTTACACAACCCTTTCGATAGAAATCTGTGATAGAATAAAATGCACAGAACACTGCGGATCCGGTTGACTCACCTCTGTTATTGACCGGCCGGCACGTTTCGTACCGCCTCCAGAAATTAGTGTTTTCGATAGCAGAACAGTCTTCACGGCCATTGAAATGAATTCTCGCGTAATCATCGCAATCCGTCACGCCGTCTTTGTTGCAGTCCTGTGATCAGAAAATAAAGAAAATTGATAAAAAAAAATAAACAACCACTTAAACCACCCACCAACGTCTATAAACAAAAAAATAATCAATAGTGACCTACCCTCAAGGTATAAAATAATATTATAATATGGTCTCAGATAAATCGAAAAATAGTCTATATTATTTTTCGTTATCTTCTAGCTGTAAGCACTTGTGATCAATACTGCCGTATATACTACCGAACTCAACGTTGTGGTGCATGACGTAAGCCACTCATTTTTACCTAATGTATCATTATCGTTTTGCAATAATTAAGGATCGGCAATTGTTGGAATTACAATAGATAATATATTATACACGATCAAAACATAAAGAATAAACATTAATTATACGAAATGATTTTTCAATATTTCAAGTAAAAATTATGAAAATGTATTAATTATTATTCATCATCATTGTTTTATTATTAGTGTACTACTATATTTAAAATTATTTTATTAAATAAACTAAAAATCAAAATAAAATTCCTGATATATAAAAAACTGCAAATTGCTGTTATTGGTATGTTAATTTATTATTGAACTACAAAAATATAATCGAAACCAAATAATATTAATAAAATTAATATATTTTCAATATTTCTAAAGTAATATACTAAAATACGATTATCATAAAAATACATAAATTTTTATTAAAAGTATTCACAAAAAAAAAAAAAAGAAAAAATATGTATTTTTTTCTAAAACTGGCAAAATATACAAAATATACATAATTATTTTTTTTTCACTGGTCATTGTATAGAATGAATTTATAGCTTAGTCTGCTTTAAATAGAAAACATAAACAAAAGAATATTATGAAACTCTTGCAACTTCCAAGTCCTAGTAATAATGTGTTAATACCGCAATAATAAATTCGTACGCAATGTATCAAGACATAGGTAGTTGCGCCTAAAACAAAATATATATTTTGAAATCAATCCACGCTCTTTATACTTTGAAGTCAGTGTAAACCATAATAGCATATAATTTTTAGTTTTGTATTATGATATGAAATTATGTTTTTGTTCAGTTTAATTCCACTATTATTCAATAATTATCATAATTTAATAGCTAATACATACTTTACATAAACTATGTACATATATTAAAATATTTTAAAACTAAAAATTTCTATAAGTCAATTGATTACTAAATAATTGGTAAAATACTTTTTTGTTTTTTTGAATTTAAATAGTTTATAACTGATATTTGAAGCCAACATTCACAAGTATATAATTTGAGTGATATCAACATACGAAATCAAAGTGTTTTATTTTCGCGAACTATTTATCGACCAATCGGTTGGCATTATACAGAAAAATACTTAATAATATAGGTAACAATGGTAACAAAATGATAATATTAATAAATTATTGTATAATACTTGCAGTTTTCATTTATTTGTGTTATATTTATGATACATAAATTTAAGTGTTGTACGTTTTTATAATTTATTTTAGTTAGGTAGGTAAATTAAAATATATTAAATAATATTTTAAATTTTAATGATCAATGGTAATAATTGCAATCGGTACATGGAAAATGTATGAGTTCATTTTAAACGCAAATGATACATTTCCATGCATTTATCGACCAATATTCCGAATATTATCCCAAAATATTTGACCATCTGAATCGACAGAGAAATCTTCAGTGTCGTGGTATTCGACCCAAATTTTGACCCTTGATACTAATAAACTCCAAGTCACGTTTTTTCTCAATAGGTATAAATGTATAATGAAAAATAATGATACTTATAGAGGTAGATGTACATCGAACATTGAATTCCAGCTATCTAGACGATATTTCTAGATTATTGGTTGTTTCGTACAGTGTATAATATAATTTATGATTATAATAATACTAATAATAATAATATAATCATTATTATTATCATCAAATGCATTTTATAACATGACTGATGTTATAATATTTGCCATGACCAAATATAATAACAGGGTACGTCGGCAAAGATGTTAAAATTGTTATTACGTTTCAGGTAACTCGATAAAAATAGATACCTACTACTTGTAAGTTGTAACTTGTAAGCCATAGGTATTTCCTATAAACTTCGTCCGTGGTCCGCGTGATATCAGTCGAACACTATCCGTGCGCATTGATCTACTTGTTAATAATATGTTAAAATATTGTAATTTAAAATTTATACTATTATAATATAAGCATTATACATAGTATATATACAGTGAAACCTAGAATAAAATTACTTATTTTGCGTCTATCTGTATGATCGATTAATTGTAAAATAAATATTATAAAAATAAATTTAATTTACTATAAAGTATATGAACTCTAAAATTGGTAAATTCGTTTGAATTTTACTCTCTTGTTTTCAAAAATTTGATTTAAAAGTTAAAAAACATAATTTATTTAAAAAAAAAAAAAAAACTAAAATTAAATTAAAATATATGGCTTTAATTCCATTCCACGAAAGTTAAAATCTGTTTTTATAATATTTATCATCTTTTTACATTTATTGTACTGATATTAAATGTTAAACGAGTACCTAGTTTGCACTGTTGTGTTGCACGTATAAAATACAAAAATAATAAACATTGGTAACCAATTCTCACGGTAAAGGATCTACAGTTTTGATTAAAACAATATTTTTCAAGTATACGATACGTTTAAAGACTAACGTTCATTTTTCGAAAAGTATTAAAGATTGTATATTATTTAATTTAAAATCATTACAAAACAATGTATTTAAAAAAATATATATTTCCATTATTTTTATTGTTGTTCTCTTTACATATTTTTACTTTTTAATAATAACATATAATTTTTTATTTTTTATTCCGAAACAGAGTATTTTTCTGAGAATTTCGATGTATTATAATGGAATTTTGAACGGTTTGTTAATTAATAATATATTATGTATGACCATTTTAAGTTTTGACAGCGATCAAACAATTTTCAGGATACTTGCTTGTTAACTTCATATATATTATTATTATTATTATACTATAGGTAAGTTGACGGTTTATCGATGAATTGTGTGACAGTATTTTTTTTACTGTTATTAATCGTGCTCGATTATGTTTTTACATAAAAATGTGTATTAACAAAATTTATTTTGAATTATTCACACGTTCAATGGTTTATTATATAGTGCGATATCACTAATGTCACACTGCACAATAGACTGGCGCGGACAAAAAAGCGTTTCGACTTGAATAATTTATCTTTGTATAAAATGTCATATTATTTTAAAGGACAAAAAAAATTCGTTTTATTTGTAGGCTTATCACACATTTTTGTAATTCTTTATAATGCACTCATCAGTCTGCATTCGACATGTACACTGTACACATAATGTATAATATATTATAACGACCAGTAGATATATATTATAATAAGTACTGCAGTAATATCATATTAATTGTCCAAGCAAGTATTAATATATATATATAATTTATTATTATGATACGATATGTAAAAACAAACTAGTCAGAATCGTCCCCGTTATCGTAATATTAACGATAAGTGTATTATCAACGTATGTATTATTAATATAATAATATCCTCAATATCGTTTATTATTGTACATTATTTCATTGATATTTTAGTACGGAAATGCATAATGCTAAATTGTCGAGTTACATTAAAATAAAATAATATTACCAAGGCGTTTTAAAACACATATTATTCATCAATATTATAATATGCATACTGTTTTCAAGATATATCAAAATAAAAATAAAAATAGAAATTTTAACAATTGCACAATACTTAATTATTTTTATATGATTCAGAATTTCGGACAACAAACATTTTTTCAAAGTTACCGGATAAATTGATGTGTAGGTATGTGTATAACATAGATCATTGTGTAAACACGTTTATTTTGCATTGAACAGGCGATGGTGGCAACCAACAAAACCATTTTAGTCGGATATTCACAAAAAAAAATGTATACCAAATGACTCCCAAATCCCAATAATAATAATAATAATCTTACAGATCAGGTATAATAAATGTTGTATCTAATAATGCACGTGAATAATTTACGCATTTCGTTTAAAACACATTACAGTGATACTAATGTACTATAATGCATTTACACGTACATACATCAATAATAATAATTTAATATTGAGTCTTAATATCGCAATTTAATGACTAATGGTTGGTTGTCTATATTATTATTATATTATGGTTGGCGTGCGGTGTACAGTAAGACCTGCAACACATCAAGGACACCGATCCCCGCTCATCGATCGTCTATTGTATATCTAGACTTAAATGTAGTGTTGTAAAAAAAAAAAAAAATACTTTTAAAATGTATTTACAATTCGATTTGAATATAAAAGCACTTAACATTTTATTTTTTACATAAAATACACCAAATTATATCGGAGTGATATTAATATTATATTATATCGAAACAGAACATCGTCAACTCTAAAATATTTTACGAAGGAACTTTTAAATTCTTTCAACTACTTTAACAACATACATACGTAGGTAGGTAGGCAAGCAATAAGTGTAGGTAGATCTATAATTTACTCTATCGCAAATCGTGTTAGCTATAAACAATGAAAAATATATTTGTGTAACGTATAATAACTTTTTGTCCATTGGTGCCTCGTAGCCTATGATGTATAAAATTATTTACAATGAACCCCAGAATACAATATACTCTATGACCAATAGTTAACATTAAAGTGCGTATTTTTATGCACTAAAAACTATCACAATATAGCATACAATAGGCAGTAAAAATAGTGAAAATAACTAACAGCAATTTTAAACAATAGGTTAAAGTAAAAATAATATAAATAGTAATTTAGATAATTATTAATTTATGTGATTCAAAAATAAATTAAAATACATTTAATAACTTGATTAAGAAACGTATTCAAAACAAATCAATTTTAAATCATTTTTAGTAAAATCGTTGTATAAGATTATGAATAAGGAAGTTCACTTCCTATAAATGATAAAATTGTTATTAGTTCATCAAAAAATGATAGGTCCGTAGTTGACAAAACGTATTATTAAAAATGTTTACTCTATAAAATATTATTTTACATATGTATTATATTTTTAAAACAATGTATAATTTAACTTCATTTTAAAATTTTTTAGAAATATACAATAATCATCAACATGTAATAAAATTGCTGTCTGCAGTAGCGCTATTAAAATCCGAAAACATTTCTGATAAAAATCTAAAATACACGAAAATCTATCCTTAAGTTATAATATATTGCTCTGTATTATCTGTACTGAGCGACTTCTAGAGGGTTAATCAAAAACAATAGAAGCCTGACAAATATTAAAAAAAAAAAAACCTCTTTAATCATTCAATATCAAAACATTGTACTGTTAGTACCTTTATTTAATATCTGCACTAATCAGATATTCGTTATAATAATGAAGTCGTGGCAATAATATTATTATAATATCGCGTCCCCGAGAGACAGTTAAATCACTGATGCCGTGCGTAGTATTATTGTTGTTATTGGAATATTCGCGTTGTATAATATGCGTGACGGCCGGCAACGAGTGTGTTTCGTGTGACGCTTATTATGTGTTTATGAATCTATGTAGGTAAGTACGACGCGAAGCGTGTTTAAACGTTTTCGATCAATTCTAACCTGGCGAAAGGACAGCATAGTATGAATATTTTATTGTATATCCATCATCACAATTCACAACATATACTGCAGCCATAAATAACATAATACCTAATAATAATAATATATAATCCTTATCATGGTAATTAACCTGCCAACGACCGGATGGTGCGCTTCCTAAGGACGTCGCCGGCGGAACTTAAAAACTCGTCCCTCACCCCCCAAAACAACGAAATCGGTGATTTCATTCCCGCGTAACTTGCCTTGTGCTAAATAATTGTTATACATCGGTCAATGATGTAATAACGGCTAAAACGACGATGCTTCCTTCCGGTCCACCACCGCATAAATACCCAAATAATATTATTATTCAGCAATGAAATAGCCAGGATTTCTTTTCTTTTTTTGGAAGGGAGGATGGAGAAGGGGGATTTGCTGATAACTTGTTATATACCTATAAAAAAGCTTTACTAAGGGATTCCTTATAAGTTTGGTATATTATGCAAATTCCAGTGTAAGTATATGACATTTTACTTTTACAGTAGCCTCCATATATATCACAGTTTATTAATAGCATACTGAAGACGTTATCAAAATCTTCCTGAAACTTCGGGAAGGGCCTTCTCATTGATCACGCTATATTAATGTTAAGTGCATGTTATTATAATATAATCCATCGTTGGAAATATAGACATTGTAATATAATATGAACGTCTCATTCCTCACCTCACTCAGTAATAGGATGCATATGATGGGATCTAAAATGTATTTCTTATACCAATAAGTTTGTTATTAAACTAATTTCTCTTTCTTGCCATTAATTTGCATAGACGAATCAAATTTTAAGCCATATATTCTTTACCAATCCCTACCCCCTCCCCAAATCACACTTTCTTTCTTACATACACTAACTCTGCTATCAGCCCATTTCTTTGTAGTTATAGTATATAATCGCCACTCACCCTTCCCCATTTAACCATGTAGTTTTCGACGACTTTTTGCGCGCATTCCACGTTCAAAGCACAGTCCACGAACGCCTGGTCTCGGTCCGGGTCGTCGTCGGGCAACACCAACTGGCCCGCTTCTCTCCAGTAATCGCGGTATAAGTAGTACGGACCGCAGTAACCACGCAAGCACCCGACTGTCATGTTACATAGGGTGGACGCGTAACACAAGCACCGAATGCAGTTTCCGTTTAGGTTGGACACGTACCGACCTGCATAAACAACAACAGCAACAACGACAACGTCAATTACAAAATAATAATTCGTTCAATTAACCTACTACAACTGTGGGTGATGGTAAAATTTTTGATATATATATAGATGTGTAGAAACGTACCTAATATATTAATGTACTAAAACTACAGTGAAACTAGACGAATAATCATCGATCCAACCACCGCGTACTATAATATAGAATTAATATACGCTACTGTGACGTGTGATGATAACTCACCTCCAGCATCTTGAAATCCAATCACGAAAAACGTAGCACCATCGTGTCCTATATGTATATCCTTTAATATACTGTGTCTATATAATATAGCCTGTGTTCGGACTTCGAAATATTACAACATCAGTACAATATTACTATCGCATGCACCGGGGCTCAACGACAGGACGTTGTACACCGTAGTGAAAAAAAAATATCAACTCGTTTTCAAGGATTTTTGAAAAATTAAACGACTTATACCCGTATTGACTGTCGCGATGATTTAACTGAATATGTTTAATTACTATATTATGAAATATGATGTATACGCTCTTTGTATCATTTAGTGACTGCGAGTAATTTCGATTAAACGTTTTAGTATAAATCACATATTATGGTAATCAGATATAAAACTATAAAAACAGTACATTTTAAATTTAAACTTCCTTATCATAAAAAAAACATAGTAGGTTATTTATATAATGAATACATTTAAAATATTATACACTATACTCTAGTAGTGGTTCATTCACATTGTAGTGGAAAACATGAAGTATTAATGTACAACTCTGCATTAATATAAATATTGTAAAATAATAATATTAAACAGTATTTTTTTCGAAAATGAGTATGGTGTCATGTACCTATTCAGCTCTATTATTAAGTATGGCACCATGAAAAAAAGTAAATAAAAAAAGTACCCCCGGTCACAATACCTATCTATACATCTAACGTTAATTACGTAACGGTTTTTAGAGACGTAGGTATCGGAAGAAAGATTCCGTTAGAATGTCTATACCTAGGTTATGAATTTTCTGTGCAAGCGATAAAAACCTAGTCATGAAGTTCAATTTTTATTTATTTATTTATTTTTTTTTTTTTGAATCGAAAACTATAATATTACTGTAAAACTGTATAGTGTATAGTATAACATCATTACATCTAACCCATGGGAAATAATATATTTATTCTACGTTTAGATGAACTTACCGGCTGTCGTGGTCGTGGACGACCACGACGCGATCAGCAGCAGTACAGCTGCGGCGGCGCACGTCAGGAAACGCTGTCCGGACGGGTCACGCATCATTGTCGTACTATTTGTTTACGTGGATTGTGCACTGCCACTGCGTATCAGACTATCAGAAAATAACGATATTACAGTAATAATAATATTATTATTAAAATGATGGTTCACGCGTGTGGTATTGGTAGTATAGCCTTACCGTCGAACCGGTCAACGCCACAACATTCTCTTTTATCAGCGAGCACGATAACGATGTATAAGCATGGTAGTTGAGGCGATAACTGTATAATATATTACAAAAACACATTTTTGTGCTGCAGTTCTCCGCTAACCGGAATACGGATAATAAATACTGCAGTGTTACCTTCGAAGTCTATTACTATAATTCATAATTTTTTGCCGTCTGATGTGATTTTACATTTTATAGACTGCACACAAATATAATACAAGACAATTCACCGAGTATGCTCTCACCTCCCACCCCCCATTTATTTCTTGGTTAAAAAATTATTATTTTTCGATTTTTCAAGAATACCTATACCTAAGTACCACATTTTTAAATACTTAGATTTTTATAGCAATTAAGAAGTGTCTGACATTTTTCAAAGTCAAATCATCCTTACTTTTGTAAATTATTAAGACAATAACTTTTTTGAAAATTTTTATGTTGGTATTAAAATACAAATTCTAACGAGTAGCTTTTTTTTTTTTTAATTAACTTCGTGTACTTGGTATAGGTTCATAATAATATGAAGACTACAATAAATAAATTGAAGATGATAATAACGAATACCTGCTGAAATTAAACTATTGACATTTTCTAATATTAATTGTAAACACTGTTTTAGTATAATAAGCAAGAACTGTTTAAAATTAAACAAGTATTAAATTTAAATATATTACATTTATTTTACATTTTTGCTAAATAATTTTTAAGACTATTATACTATTAGTACATACATTCTATTAACTCATAAATTATACTCGTTTAAAATTTAGTTCAGTTGCATCAATAATATTAAAATACAATTACCCGCCTAATAATTGGTTAAGTAAATAAATTGATTTTTTTTTTTTTTTTTTTTTAAAGAAGGAAAAGTTTGTATCGCTACATGTAGACACTCTTTAAATTGTATAAAATCTATGTATTTGAAAATATGACAATTATATATCATAATATACTTAAAAGTTTAAAAATAAAAAAAATTGAATGCATTTATTATTCATGGAAAAATTGTATTAAATAATCTTGTTGAATCACTCTGTATATATTACACAATTTGTGTAATCAATTCAATAGTGTTCAAACTTCAGGGGTCTATCCGATTGTATAATTTTCAATTGCTTGAATAGATAAACGAGTCCGTGAGGGTAAGTTATAAGTCTTGTTGAGATATTATTCCAAAGTTCGATTGAATAACATAATTTATTAAAATGCACATATTTGATATAATTATCAAGGATTAAGAATTTATATTTTATACGTTACGTGCACGTACATTGAGTTTAGTTAACTGAAAAACATAAGTAATTGGTACGCGTAACTGAACAATAACTTATTGTGATTACATGTCTTACTATATAACTGAAGGTAGATACCATAATAATATATAGATAGGCGTTAGTTTATTTTAAGATTTAATAATGAGCGATTTATTAAGCATTTTAATTATATTGACTCATGATGACAATTTCAAAATAAATTTATTCAAAAAATTTGTACGTAAATGTTATTATCTATCTAAATATGTCAAGAACAAATATGATTAACAAACTATGTATTTATAACCGATAACGGTAACTACCAAAACCGCACAGTTTTTGTATTTTGTGTTTATTTTGGATTTGCAGATTTAGATTTTTTTTCCGTATATTTTTGCATGCTACAATAAATTATTAATACGTTTGCGCGTCACTATTTTATACTACATACCTTTTAAAATATATACTGACCACTCACATGTTTTCGTGTACACGGTACAGATTGAATTTCTATATTATACGACCCCTCTAATCCTACCGAAATTCGAAATCCACCGCAATTCTCAAGGGTATGTCGGACCTTAAAGTTGCTAAAAAATTCTATAAATTATTATACATAATATGCATCAGTTTACGTGGTGCGCCGTAGTCTATACTATTATATTATATAAATAAAATATAGAATAGCCATTCAATTTCGTTCTTTCGTGCCGATCGAGCTGAGTGTCCAACTGAATTGTTTACGAGACGTTCGTTACGGCGTCTATGATAAGATTCGTAAGTTGTGACACACACACGCGCGTATATGTGTGTAAATGTGTATGCAAGTGTGAGCTTAGAGACTGCCATACACGGTTGTGGACATGTTATTCTCAACAAGTCTCGACTCAGATGATGACGTAGTCGTCCGCCGTCTTCGATGTCTCCGGTATAACACTATTATTACTATTATTATGGCGGACGGAAGGTTGTCGGACCTACGTTTGGTGTTACATCGGAATCCGGGTCCGCCTCTGGATATTATGATGATAGTACTCGAGGTTGTTTACCGAGGAACATAATACACACACGTGGATGTATTATTACAGTCGTCGTATTATCTTCTTGTGAAATGATAAAAAAAAATCAAAATACTGCATTCAATAATTAATTATTAATTAACGATGACGACGATACTGCTTAATACAATACGATATATTATTGTATTATACAGTGTTGTTTTTTGATCACGTTGACCTATTATATTGTATGAGACGAAAGGAACATTGAATAACGAAGGACGTAAACATGTAGACACGAGTAAGAAAAATATTTTTTTTTCAAATAATAAAGGTATTGTAATGTACGAGCTAGTCGTACGATTTAATATAGTTATCAGCATAATAATACCTATGGCAGCAACAATTTTCCACGAAATTTTCGTAAAACTCTTCAACAATTTTTCAGTGCCTTATCCCTTACTATTTTGTTTAATAAAACGCGTTTTTCTTTTTAAATACAAATTACTTAGATTTAATTTTACTCATACGTCATAGATATTTGTAAACTTTAAATGGAATATCATTAATATTGAATTATTGACAATGGCGTGTTGTACAAAAAAATTAACACAATTTTGATAACGTTTCACAAAATTGTGAGAAAATATTCATAAAAAAAAATTAACTTATTAAGCTTTTCGTTTCTTTTCTGTTTATTTTTCGTTCTTCAAATTGTAATTTATGTAATGGTTTAAGTGTATGGAGGTAGGTAGTAAGTATCAGATATATAATAATATAAATTAAGTAAACTGTATTTTGCTCAATCTAGTTAAAATGTTAAACTTTTTGTCAATAGTTAGCTAATAAAAATTTGTAGTACTCGTCAGAAAATTTTTGTTCGTGGGCTATTTTACTAGAGTGCGTTTATTTGTAATGTTATTATCTTACGAATATTACCAACATATAATTTTCGAAAATATGGTTTTGAATTTTTTTTTTAACAAAAATAAAATTAAAATGCCTACAATTCTTCAGTGATGGCATTTATTTATTGGGTGATATAGATTTCTTTAGTTTTTTTTTAGCTTATACGGCATTCTTATAATATATAAGAAAAATTATTTGTTATTTATTTCATCACACTTAGTTCATTAAAAAATTCACATGATTTATGACACATTGACACAGTCTGTACAATAATTTGTTTTTTATTTATTTTGTTGGAATTCTTTACTTAATCTATAGATGAAAACCAAATGAAAAATATCGATTACAATATTATTTGAAGAAAATTAAAAATAAGGATTACTATTTCAGGTTAATATAATGTATATAAGTGGTTAAAATAATTGAATTGGCTATCTCGTTCGTATGAAGGATATAATAATTTTCGTGGTTAATATATTTTGTTTGGTATGAATGCCTAGGTCAAAAACCAAATTTTACAGGGAACTAATTTTGTTATACTCGTTAATGCACACCTGTCACTTAGTAAAAAAATTGAGTTTCCTAGAAATGCATTTCCAAACATGGGCGCCCATAGGTAATATTTTAGGGGGGGGGGGGGTCAAAATAAAAAAATTTTCGAATGTAAGATAATAAAGATTTAATGTTATTTTTCACATATAAATGTATACACTATACATGCATGTTATATTGTTATTTGTATATATAGTGTATTAATATAATAATTGCCATACGAATAAATAAATAAATATATAATAATTGTCATATGAATAAATAAATAAATAAATAATAATTTTAATAAGTATATAAAAAAATAGAAATTAAATAATATAATTAAGTATATTATTCGGTATCAGTAAATAAGAACTGTAAATTTCTTTGTTTTATTCCAAACATATTAATGACATCCTGAATGAAAGTATCCTTGTTTGCGTTAGGTTAAAATATTTGTAGTACCTATATTGTGATCTTTATAGATTTACCACAAATTATCTGCGATAAATTATTTTACGTATAGGTTATACAGACTACAGAATACGACCTATCTATGATGTTAATATACAATAACAATGAGTATATTTTTATATTTATTTCATATCTTAAAAGTCAAATAATTTGCCTCGGTAATAAGATAATATTGTGGTAATATTTTTTCCAGGGGGGGGGGGGCAAGTGCCCTGTCTTGCCCCCCCCCCCGGGCGCCCATGTTTCCAAATTAAATTCCCCCCTACCCGTTAGGTTAAAAATTCTACTGAAAATGTCGTATGATCCTACTAATAATTCGAGTATTGTATACTAGCAATTGACCTATCGAAAATTTATCTATAGATATTAAATCCATAGAGGGTACTAAAGCTTACCCGCCATAAACTATAACAATACAATATAAGAACTGTTTACATTTTGTTCAATCTGTTTGGTATAGCCAATATTAAAATTTATCCAAGCTTAATGTGTTTTTGCCTTACGTATATGTATTTAAAGAAAATTCAGAAATAACATATTAAATAAAAATCGAAAAATCGAAAAAAATCACATAAAGCTTGTCATTTATAGTTGAAATGTTTCGAATGTACCTCGCATCGAGTGGTGAATAAATAAAAAAAATAGTGGTTAATCATTGCAAACATTTTATAAGTTAGTGTGTATAAAAAACTGAAAAATGATTCTTACAACGTGAAACAGATAGGTCAACATCTATCCTAGGCCACTTTAAAGACAATTTACTAATATTAATAAAATATTATACATTTCATATCATTTTATTTCATATTATTGAATTTAACCAATTTTTTTCTTTTAAATGCATTGCATATACGAACTATAAATCAATATCGATGTAAATAGTTCATAAAGTAAGTATGAATATTAGGTATGTTTGTGGTAAAATAGTTTGTTTAAGCCCACTTAATTTACCATAGTTTAAATTTTAAACAATAGCTGTGTTCCTGCACATCGTATTGTGTAGTTTAACCGATATTTGTTACCAACATATTAAATATACAAAACACTAAATAGGATATGACTTCGGGGTGAAGTAAAAACACTTTAGGAACATTCGGATTTAGTATAAATGGTTTAAAAATAATAATATAATAAGTAATAACAGAATTTTTGAGTGTTTACAGTTAATATTTTTTAAGCTAAAAATAACTAAAGTAGTGAAAATTATGGTAAAACTACAAAAATAAAAACAACGAAAATTATAAATATATTGTAAAAAAGTCATGATACTCAACTCATAAATATGATATTGTCGATAATTATAATAATTAAAAAAATTATAGAATTAAAAATATATTCAATTACATTTTACAAGGATAAATGTATAGGTACTTGATAATACCTCGTAAATGCTTCAATTTTTTTTTTTTTTTTTTATCATAAACGTCAATGATGTATTAAATTTGTTCAGCATTCTTTCTTTTTATACTAGATTTAATACCACCATTTATAATATATAACATATCATTTAGGACATTTAAGAAATGGTGAAATATAATTTGAATATAATAGTCATATTTAGAAAATGCTTATATAAGTACTTAGTAAAAAATTCTTAAATTTTTGTTGTTATTCTTTTTTGAATTACAACAAAATTAATTTTTTCCAAAAATGAATTTATTTGAACATTTCTGTTTTCACACGGTTTTCACCTAGATTTGATTTTTTAACAGAAACCCACTCAAATCAACTCAATGCAAATTGAAGTAATTTCTATACTCTAAAATACAATGGCAGATACAATATAATTAAATAAAAACATAATTTTAATATTATAAAATCAATAAATTGTTTGTTTCCGTTGAGAATTTAAAAATATGAAAGTCGAATAAATAAAATGATTTGATAATTTAATCATCAAAACTAAGGAATCTTATTGGATTGAAATTTCTAGTTACTATTATTATATTAATATAACTATAAAATGATTATAACATAAGTAATCGTATTATAACATTTATAATGGACATTTTTTTTGTCCTTCGTTAATATATTATTTTCAAATTTGTTTTCTTTGCCCGTTATTTTTCGGTGAAGTCAATGATTTTTTTTTTTTTTTGTTCAACATAGATTATTATTTTAATTTTTTGCTTTTACACTTTAAAAATATTCAACCCTTGGAGCTATAATTTCAGGAAAAGGGTCCTATTACAGTTTAAAATTAATACATCGTGAAATATTTTATTTTTTTTTTTAACTTTTATTTTTAATACATACAATCTAGAAATAAATTTTACAGTAAGTATGTTTGAGGATTTACATTATTGGCATGATTGACATGACGAAGTAATCACCCAGTGGTAACAATTACTGACTAGAGAGTTAGAGTTATTTAATTTCAGGTTGCGGCTCCAATTTCGCTTTAACCTTCTAAGTGGGTTTCCAGGAATGGATTAATCGTAAAATATGTATCAAAAACTTGCACTAACTTACAATTTTTTAATGATGGAGTTTATATAAGCATAGTTAATAATGTTATGAAATATAAAATATACATTATAGTAGGATTTTGTTGAAAAAATAATAGCTATTTAAATAAATAGCGATAAAAAGTCGACCAAAAAACACGACATATAAGATACATTTTTAATTAACTACAGAACACGTGTGTGAATTATTACAGGAAATAGGACTTATTATTGTAATAAAAAAAAGTGAAAATTATTTAGCAATATTTTTGCATTATAGAAAATGTTAATATAAAATCATGATTTTACAAGATAGATCATTTTTATTGATAAAAAAAAAAAAAATAGTTCATTAATAAACTAAAAAATTTTAGATTTCAATTCTATGCATTTCAAAGCTAGTTTTTAGCGTTTTCTATTATTTTGTCTTATTAAAATATATAGAAATGGTATGTACTATTTAGTATTAACTTATATATAGGTGTTATATAAAAAAGTTGTATATTAAATATTTTATATATTTTACGTAATTATTTTGATTTATTAATTATATATTAGTTAAGATGTACTTTCAACAACTTATAAGTTATAATTAACACTTATAATGTAGGTGAATTTATAGTATTTTAAAGATAAAGTTACAAATTAAATATATATGTAGTCACATTTTATTACAGCATGTTATTTAATTTGAAATGGTTGATGAATAAAATTGATTAAAATATCATAAACCTACTTGATAGCAAATTTAGATTATATGTATATTTAACATTGTTGACTATAATTTACTATTAAATTTAAAATGTACAAATTAACAGTTCCAAATAAACACATTTAGAAAATTACATTACAATATAATTAATATAATATGCTTGTCCTTCATTTTATAAATATAATAGGTAATAGAAAACTATAATATTATTTTATATCATATTGACAACAAATTTATTCTTATATAAGTTTTTTATAACTTTTAAGAGTAAAAAATAATGAAAATGCTATTAACATGTTTTTAATAAGATTTAATGTTAAATAATAAAATAATTTTTATCATTATAATCATAAATACTTATCTTCAATTAATACTATTTTAACGTTTAACAATAATTATAAAACTAAATGTAAAACAATTATAATGACTATTATTAATCAAAAATGTATGTTAAACAACTATAAAAATATTATCTAGTTTTTTTTTATTTAATAAGTAAAATGTTTGATATCAAATCAAATTCTGCCAATTTTAATAAAATATATAACAAAATATGAATAAAATTAAACATCAAATATAAAAATATGTACTGAAAATAATATTTCAGTCTGTACTTGTTCAACACAGTAGGGTATTTTATTATTTTCAAAAATAATAATAAAATGTTGTTAGTGTAGTATAAAAATAGCTAGAACACAGAAACATAATACATAGATTAGATCTATACTATTCTGTGGTAATAATATTTTATTTATGAGTTTGGTGTTTAATGATTTTAGTATACGGTTTTTTTTTTTTAAATAGTCGACCTCCGTGTTCATTGAACTAGTGCAATCCAAAACGGCATTTCGTAAAACAATATCGTAATATTATATCATATTATGTTGTTAGATTCCTGGAGTAGGTATGATGGTTTTTTTTAAATATTTAAAAAAAAAATAAAAACACATGACAATATTCATATTATTACGACACATGAAAAATAACATCATTGACATTAGATAGACGGTTGACATTATAATATAAATAGTATAATAACTAATTATATCATTATGATATATAGTAAATGGTCGGAATTTATCGTCTGTACCATAAACCTTATACATATTATCTTTTAGATGGAGGTTATAAAATAATGTTTTAGGCTACAATCATTTAAATACATCCATTGTCTCTAAATTAGCTGTTATTCGTCTGCACACGTCGATCAAGTCGTGTTTAACGATTCAACTGCATCACGTACCCAAGGAAATTCATACTTCATCACAAGATGGCTAGTCACATTATTTTTATTACTACAGTTTTGTGTCTCATAGCACTGTCTATTTCTGTTACTGCCAGTAAGTGCATAATATCATAATGTATATTCAAATATTGTTACCGATATTCATCACAAAAATTTTAATTAGTTTATAATATTAACTTCGTTACAAAAATATTTACGACGTATATAAATAATATCATTTTAAATCATTGTAATAATTATGGTTCTTCTGCATTTAAATTTACGAATATACGTTTAGCTGGGTGTTATCAATGGATAACTTCCCACCCTTATTATTCGCCATCAATTTTTATATTCTCTTCTATTTTATCAAATATAATTATTGTACAAATAAATTATATAGATTTTAGATGTATTTTCTAAAAATAAAAAAAATTATATATGTTTTGGTGCGATACAATAAATTAATACTATAGTTTTATTCTAATCATTTATAATTATTATTCGAATTTCAAGACTTTAGCTGAAGTCTACAAAAATTCATTTGTTTTACGATTTTAACAATGTAAGATATTTTTTTACCCGATATACATAGTAAGGCAGTTAAATATTTATTTTTTTTAATTTTTGTTAATGTAATAAATTAAGTTATAGAAATTTTCGTAATATTTCGAATTTAACAATTAACGCTAATAAGAGTACTTTTTATTTGTTTTCAAATTGTAATATAATTAAAGTTTTAACTTCATCCTAATTAAACATATTCAATATAAATTATAATCTAAATGTAATAGATCAATTATTTAAAATTATAAATTGTCCAATCTAAAAAACATATGTGGGAGTCTGTACTTAAGTGTGGAAAATAGAAAGTTCAAAAAATTATTCTGAATAATTATTATAGAAAAACTAACACCACGTGTTACAAATATTCATATAGGTATAGTTTTTTTCTCAAATTTTCAATATTTTTATTTTTTTGAAAACCAATAGGAATAGTATTGCGGTTGTGCGTGCAACTTTTAAACCTTCTTCTTTTTTTTACTACCAATAAAGTATAAAGAAACACATATCATTGTTAAATCAATAAGTCCTTTGTTTCAATCTAAGTCAAACAGGATTTAATAATTCTATAAAAAAAAATTTGAACAACGCATAAAATGATACCAGATTGGTTCTTTTTCTTATTCATTTATGCAATTTGGAGAACGAGTAGGTACTGGCACAATTATTTATGTCATCAATACTATTGAAAATTCATTTTACGCTATAGTAGATAAAAGTTCAAGATATAAACTCAAATATTGATAAATATATGTTATATGATTTTTATTTTGTATTGTATTAAATTGTTTTTAATACGAACATAATAATAATATTTATCATTAATTATTTTGCAGTTCCTCACATACACAGAGTACCGATAGATAATGAATGTTTAAAATGCATTTGCGAAGGTGTTGGTTTTTGTAATCCCAAAATGGCGTGCCAGGGAAAGGTATGCGGTATGTTCGGTTTAACGCGGGAGTATTGGATAGATGCAGGAAGACCAATTACATCGGGAACTAAAACAGGCGATAAAGATGGTAATATGTCTAATAATATGAGTCCTAAATATCTATAATTATCTATTAATGATCTATTATGTGCACATAGATCACAATATTTGACATCCATGAAATGATAATATTAGATGTATTTTCTCAAATTAACAGAAAACAAAAAAAAAAAAAAATAAAAATAAAATAAAATAATGAATTGTGTAAAATAAACAGAAAATATTTTAATATATTATAGTAGATGATGGTCGTTAATTTCAGTAATTACACGATGACAGAACATAAATAGGTTTTTTGCGCATCAACGTATCTACATATTTACATGGGTGGTTTTAGACAATTTATAAAATTACGACAGATATTGATATATTGTATTAAAAATTGACTTAAAAAATGTGCGGTGTGTATGAATTATGTCCATCAAAAGTACAGAAACTAGGGACATTTATAAGGCATAAGCAAAATATTAGTTGGGTCCAGATTTTTTTTAGGTAGGTACCTACTAAAATATGTAACGAATAATGATAATATGCATGTTATATTTTCATCGCATGGCATTAAGATTTAAGAAAAATAAATTAAACTTAATAATTAAATATAAGCATTTGAATAATTATTTTATTTAAATCAGTACTTAGTATAATGCAATTATATGCATTAATTTATAACGTAACATTTATATTTAGAAGGCTAAAATTTATCTTAAATTCTTAGCTATTAAATATAAATAACAAAACAATCATTATAGATAAATTATCATATGATGAAAATATTAATAAAAATACGACATCACCAGCCCAATAATCATCGATAGTAACATCTAGGTATAAATCACACAATATACAATGCTCGACCAATCATATTCTGTCATGCTTTTTAAACATATATCGAATAATATATTTAGTACATATTCAAATACTTTTAAAATATTTTAGTTGTTTATTAATATATTTTTTTTTTTTTTTTTAATGATTGAAAATTAACGTTTATAGTTTATACATCAGCATATTTAATGAAGTAAAAATAATATTGAAACTAAAAAGAAAACAAATCTATTTAAAATACATAGATCGTTCACTTTTTAACTGTATGATTAACTGTCAAAATATGACAAAGAAACGATTATTATAATGTATTAATATTATTTTATAAAAAGATTAATATTGTTTTTTTACTTATTTATAACTATAAAAATAATTGTATGCAAACTGCATTATCAAGTGTTAAAAACTCTTAATAGTTTAAAGTAAAATGTTATCCTTATAATTATAATAACACGATTACATAATATTCTAGTAATGACTTCCATGGTATTTTAAAATGTTTAGGCATTTAAAATATAGTTTCTAAGTTAACATTTATACTAAATATAAAATATAAAGAATAGTCATTATATATTTGAAAATTACTCGATAACATTTTCGAAAATAGTATGATTCGGCAGTTTATCATTTTTTGCGTGATGTTTAAAAGTACACAGCACTTTGTATTATATTTCAAAAACAACCGTATTAAACGAACAAAAGTAAATTCTGGAAGTGTCACGCACAGGATGTTATAGTATTATGTGTCCAATGTGGTTGAATAATATTTTTGCTAAAATTTGTTAGATAAATTATCTTTTACATTCTTTCATATCCCCTGATGTGAATCTTTTCTGTTGCATATAATATCATTATGTATAAGAAAAAAAATTATGTACTTTTAGTCGAAAATTATTAAGAATATATAATTATAGTTATGTAAACTATGTAATAAAAGTAGCCTAATGTGTTATAATATTTTATACTTGCAACAACGTTATTTTTGTTTAATAATATATAATATATGTATATTTTTTTTTCATTTATTTTCAGCATACGAGAAATGTGCCCAAAACCCTTATTGTGCCAAACAGTCAGTAATAAATTACATGAAAAAATTCTATGAGGTAAACCGTTTGATTAACTATTATAATTAGTTGTTGTATACGTCGTAGGGATAATCAAATTTTCCATATTTTTTGATCAACTGCTTATTTTTTTTATATATATAGATATATAATATATACATTTATATATTTGTTTTTTAATATTTAATTTTACTCCTATTTTAATTACAGGATTGTAACGGAGACGGTATCGTTGATTGTTATGATTACGGAGCCATTCACATGCTTGGAGGCTATAGATGCAAAGGCAGGCTGACCGAAGATTTTAAAGAACGGTTCTTGGCTTGCTATAGTAAAAGTTAAACCTATAAGAATAAACTGGCATCATGATTTTAGACACAATTAGGATTTCCTAACGACAGTTCAGACCTTATCATATGCTCAATGATGATAACCTGAATATTGATGGGATAAAATTTCACTTACGTTTAGTTTGAAATATTCTACATATCTTTAATTTTCTTATGAAATATATTTCTTATTTACTATTAAATAGTTAAATTGTATATTCTTAAGAATAATAAAAAATTAATTTAATTATTATTGGTTTTTATATTTTTAAAACTTTAATATTGTAAAATAAATAATTTATCAATACAAAAACAAATAACGGATACTTGAAGATTCATTTCTTAGGATACTCTGTGACAACTCATTTGGTAACTATGTATAATATTTTAATTCGTGGTTAGCATGCAAAACAGTAACTTAATCTTTAAAAAAAAAAAAAAAAAGTCTCTCACGGTCACTACAGGTTTTTTTTTTATTCAAACAATTCTTATGTATGTAATTGGAAGGAATAATAAAAAGGATATTTTATTATTTTCTATAATAATTAACTATATTATAACTTATGATATTTTATATTTTAGAAAATTTTTATAAATATTATTATTATTTGGCACTGAATATAATATGTACTAGGCTTATATTTACCTTTTGTTCATTATTATTTATTACACAATTCACAATTTTATTCATGAATCTCGCTAGTTAAATAAAAAAATTAACATACTTTATAAACCAATATCGTAATAATGCATAATAAAGACAGAGACTTTAAAAGCTTGAATAAATCCTTGATAACGTTTATTCTAATAACTAATTAGAAAATTATTTGTGTGAGCATATTATCTTTAAAGCCTACGTCACACTTTTTTTATTTTATTTATAACTGAACGAATACAATTAAACACAGGCTACAAAATATTGATAATATTAAAACTCAAACTGATAAAATACATCTTAAAAATTATGAATATTTAGTTTATAGTTTTAGGACCAGGTAATCTCAATTAAGATAAATAAATAACATTACACAAATATAATAATCATAATAGTTTAAAATATTCAAAAATTGTAATTTCATTACTAAATCGATGTTTGAAAAACGTTAATTGCATAAAATTTAATGATTACACTTATTTTTTTTTAAATATCCTTTCAATTAGTAATATTGGGACTATTATTCATATATTTTATAAGATCATACATGTAATAAATCAATGTTAGACGTTTTTAATGATGAGTTATATTTTTTTTGAGTAACTGAACATTTTTAAAAGTCCTATAAACTCTATTTAGTAAACCACGAGCTCAGCTCAGAACCGTTTTTCGAATATGCGATTATTTATCATTGCGTTCACATTAACGACAATATATATATATATATATATATATATATATTTAAACAATACATTGCGCAAACCTTAGTAAAAGGAAAAGACTAGAGGATACGAGTACCATACCCCATCTCTGTATTCTTTTCAGCTTTTATTTCGTTTCATTATCCATCAAGAGTATAATATTTTGTCAGTATGATGAAAAACTATATCAAACATTTTCTATAACAGATATCACAGTGGTCACTGCAACTATACTATTTTTAAAGATGTATGCACATACAATATCACAGTGTTTTTGAACATTATGTTATTGGATATTTTTTTAGAGGATGCTTTTAAGCTGATTACTACTTTTTTCTCAGAATTTTTAATGTAAAATATTACAAACACAAACCATATTAATTTTAATAAATATATAATATTATTTAATTATAAATATTTATCTACATGTATTTAAAAATAAAAATTACTATTAAAATTATTCGATATTTGATCAAAATAACCATATTACGTAAAATTGTAATAATTATCAATTTATCATTATTTTTGTTGGTCATTTATGTTAATTTTCTTAGCGTAATTTTATAAAAAGCTACGTTTATTATAATTTGGTGGCCGAGGCTAGTTATAAATAAGACCAAATTTTAAAATTCATAATATTACGAACATTTTCTCCGTATATTTTATAAGACTAACTCTGAATCAACAATCGAAATACCAGATATAAATGTATACAATTCAATCAAACTTTTAAGATACAAATAAATGGACTTTATAAAAATATAAATCCATGCCAATAACTCATCATATACTTAATATTATATGTGTTACATGTAAAAAAACAAGATATTTAAATATTGACACGTGTAAGCATTATAGTCTTATTGCCTACTATAAAAACGTGATAACATATGCAGTATTAAATGTATAAGGAAGCAGATGAATCAGATAACAATTATTATTAGTAAGGTTTTTATGTTTAAAATAAAAAACTACAGGTGGCCCTAGAAATGATTCCAAGTAACGTACAAGTGGGGATATTTTGAGAACACCTAGGCCAAGCTACTTTAGTATCAACTGGTGAACACTAGCCACGAGGTATCTTCTACCCCGTGTGATCTATACGACACTCATTGTGCAAAAATCCGTCGAAGCAGTTAGATGTCATGGGCGCGCTACTACAATTCCTGTTACCGATAATTTTCTTCACGTTGGTTTTTTCTCAAAACGATTTACAAGGTAACTGTAATATTTTGTTTTCCATACAAATTAATTTTATTTTTATTTTAATATAACCTGAGAACAATTATACCAAAATATTATAAAGATTAGTAACAACATTTTGTTAAGAACCAAAATATTCTTTATGAAATTAATTTTTTATAAATGTAGATACTCGCCTATATTTTAGGTATATACCTATCACACAAATAATATTGTTTAAAATTAATTTAATGTATACCCTATTTCTTTTACATAATTTATTTTATATTTTAGTTTAAAAGATATAAAATGTATTTAGTTTTGTGTGAATTAATTTTGCAATAATTATTATCTTAACTTTAAAAATATAACATTATAAATAAATAATATTGAGTAAAACAAATTTTCCATAAATAGTAAATGATTTATGAAATATCAATTTAAAGTTTAAGATTCACGAGTATGTGTACCTGATGTATGTCTTGTTGTTAAACCATATAATTTACTATTTGGTGAACAAATACGATTCAAACGTAAGCAGCTACAAAATTTTGTACAATTTATATATTTACTAAGACAAATATTTATTTAAAAACACGTAACACGAAAATATAATGATGAATAATAATAATATACTGTTGACCAAAATTAGTAACATTGTATATGCACTAATTTCCAGTTTAACCCACACATATATTTTATAACATTCATTACTAATAGGTAATAAATAACACGAAAATAAGAAAAACAAATATTTTATCATTTTTATAAATGTTCATAACTGTAATAAATACTTTCTTATTTGATTAAATAAATATCTCGAATATTACACACGTGCATACATTTTTTCGATTCATTACTTATCAATAATATAGGTATTTGATTTATGTCTGAGATTATAAACATTTATTATATGTGCATATTACTTGTATGCTATATTGCTATATACTATTCTATTATTATAATTTTGAGTCACCACTATAAAATAAATTGCATAACTTTGGTGTATCATTGAAAATATTTAGTTGTGACGAAGTCATTAATAGTTACAAAAGTTGCGCTATAATAATATAAATACGAAATAAATTATATGATATAGTCTATAACTTTCAAAGTATATTCATTATTTTAATTACATTAAGTTTATATTATTCAATTTAAAAAATGTAAATAATTTATTTGTTTTTTCGTTCTAAATTTATATTTCAAGAATAATAAATGGGTAATTAATAGTATTAAACACTATAAGATATAATTAAAGAATTATATTTCAATATAACCTAACAATTTGACATTAGATTTTCATCATTATTTTAAAGACAATACTTATAATATAAAAATTTTTAAAAATGTTTCCATACAAGTAGGTATGTAACTTAATTTTAAAATACTTTTAAAACAATATTTAAATATATATTTTGTCCCAACTCTCTGGAAGTTATTAAAAGTTATTTAAAAACTACTTGTAAACTATTTCATAATGGTATTTTAAGGTCTAATTTTGTTTTTTATTAACTATTCGTACTTAATTGAATATAATATGTATTACCTATCTCATTAAAAATGTCTTTATACGGGCTTTAATAGTCACTTCGTTACACATACCGATATACACCCATAATACAATACCGTGTAATACAATATATAATACTGGCACCGGCATTCGATTAAATTAATATCTCGTCGTGGGACACTTTCATTTAGAAAACGGTATTTAAACTTGAGTCCCCACATTTTGTAAAAAAAAAAAACAACATAAAATTGCATACATACCGCAGAAATTAATATGTCTTTAACAAAGGTAGGTGTACCTAACTAATTATTTATAATTTTTATATCATGCTGATAGTGTTAATCAAAACGGTATTAAATCCTATATTGACGCGTGTAGCGAATAAAGAAAATATCAGTAAGTAATATTGTTTTACTCCACAAATGTGTGTACCTATACCTACGCTCACACTGATTTTGTATTCAATTTCTGTGCCAATTCTGAGAGCTGTATAATGCGCATAATATAATACAGTTGGCAATAGTAATTTGTCAACTTCGTCCATTTGTTGTATCCTGTTAACATGGTGGGTATTTCCGTCCAGTTAAAAGCATTACCAAAACGCGTAGGTAGGTTTGCCACCCAATACCTTTTTAGTCCAGTTATAATGATTCGATGGCCTCGATTTTCAGGTAATACACTGCAGTTTGCAATACAGTGTCCAGATAACTTAATTTTCAGTAGTTGTGTGTATAATTATTTTTATAAAATTTAAATATCAATGCACAAATTATTTATCTTCAAAGTTACCAATTGTGTTACTAACATAAAAAGCTACAACTTCAATAAACAGCTCAGACTGCACTAAATTGCAATAATAAACTCAATTTAAATGACACTAAAATGAGATAGCTGGTAAATATTTTTGTGTTTTACAGTTTTTGTATTATTTGTTTACGTTCTTAAGACATTGATTGGTATAGATATCACATTCTATTACTTATAGCTATTTAAAAATGATATTATTCATGGTATGCTCATTTTTATTTGAAATTTAATAATAAATAATAACGATAAAAAACTAAAAATAACTTTTTCCTCTTAGATTCAAGCACTCATTACGCTTAACAAAAATAAACATCATAAATAATAATTGCAGAAACCGTGTAATATATTATATTTGAAATATAAATTATGCATTAAATGTTTTTAATGAACATAACTATGGCCAGGTATAAAAACAAACTTTATCGGATTTATGTTTTAACAACAACTCATCATATTCCATTAATATATATAAATTATTTTAAAACTAAAATCATTATAAAACCACATGCAGTTTGTCATACCTACGTAATATTATTATAATTCACATTTACTTACGCAGTAGTATCTAAAAAAAAAAGAAAAAAAGTGTGATAAAAACAAAACAGAAATGTTTTAAGCAAAACTGTAGACTATAAACAAAGTACTATAAAAAAATATAAAAGAATTTATGTTGAAATTGTATCTTGAATTAATAATTTTATCGTATTTGTATAAAGTTTTTAAATTTATTATATCGCGAACACGACTAAGCGTTGTTTTTAAAATTCAAATTGATAAGAAATATTAGGAAATAATAAATAGTAATACATAAATCCACTCACCAATCACCATTACCTTTATTATCGACATAAACAAATAATATAAGTTTCACCTCTTAAAACTTCTTAAAGGATATCAATAACATGTTGAAGGAATAATTTATTCACTTAAATATTAAACATTAATTAAATATGTTAATAAATAGTTCTAAGTTTTTAAAAACCAATTGGTACAAACCTACTAATTTTCTTTATTTTAAAATTCCATGCAAATCAACATATATTTAGAATAATTTTAACACGACTATTAAGAATGCTTATTTCGTGAATTACCTTATCAGATTTAATATTATGTTAATAGATGTTATCATGCAAAGAACTGATTGCCTTTTATAAATTAACGGTATTTAGTTCATTAAAGACATGTAAAGCGTTAGTATAATTGCCTAAATGCCGTTAAAAATTAATTTAAATGATAAAATATATGAAAAAAATAAAGTCAAATGATTACTAGTATAGGTGTAGTCTTTAAGTTTGACAGCAATGGTACATACGTCCACTTGTTTACGATTTTTCCAATGTTTATTGATTTTGTTAAATTATAATAAAATTTATTTAAAAAAATATGTACGTATAATGCTGCAGTTATAAGAAAATTAAAAATATTACCTTTCTAAACTCTATAATGTATCATTTGTATTTAAAGGAATGACTATAGAAATATAATTATTTACAACCGTTATAATTTTGTAATTGTAAAACAAAAATCTTAAAAAAAAATTTTAAAATCTTAAATTCTTTATACGTATATTTTTATTGTAAATATGATCTAAATATAAATAATATAATTTTAAACAGATTAATGATGATTGATAAGTAATATAATACAAATTATGGGATTATTTATGAATTTTAAAAATCATGAAATTATGAAAAAGAAGTTACATTATTTGATAATCTAAATGTATTATTTAATTTTACACAAATACGATTTTATGATAACTTTTAAAATTTTAATGTTATTTATCAGTTTTATTATTTTTTTCTTTACTTTCTTCATTTAAAATTTTTATTTTATACTGAAGTTAAAAATGAAGTTTTTTTTATCAATTATAGATTAACTTATGCACTTCAGAAATTCAATGCAAGCAACTTCCGGACTCAAATTTATAGTATACCATTAATTTAATGACATTATACAACCCGGTTTCATTTTATTTGTATTTTATTGATTGGTCCAAACTTACCCAAAAGGTAGCAGTTTCTTTTCTTCATATGAAAATATTCAAGTAGTTTTCATATTATTACACTTGAAAAAAAAGTGCAATTTAGCCATTATGGGTTTTCAATCCTAATATATTTTAAATTTTGAATTATTATGCTATAACAACCTGATAAAATACAATTCGGTTAGTATAAAAAAAAGAATTCAATAAATTATCCAAATTTTAATATTAACAACTCACAAATGTCAACTTCAGAATTTCTAATATAACTATCGTAATAATATCATCAAGAACTACTTATTGGTTTCGTGTGTACATGACTGAAACATTTGAAAAATGTATTGTCTTTTACAGAAGAATTTCCACCTGGGTGGACAGAAAAATGCATTGGGTGTATGTGTGAAGCGTCTTCTGGGTGCAATCAAACACTCGAATGCATTGAACAAAACGAAGTTAAATACTGCGGTGTATTTTTGTTAAGTGATGTTTATTGGCAAGACGCTGGTACGCCTGTACTTCAAGGAGATGACCCTACACGAATTGGAGGTATTACGTTGTATACTTAATATCTTAAAAATAATATTTTATAATCATTTATATTGTAGTTAAATATAATTTTTATTTCGTTCAAATTTGGAAAACTTTTTGTTTTAGCGTTTGAAAGATGCGTCAGGGACCCGTATTGCGCAGCTAGAGCTGTAAATCAGTACATACAGAGATATGCAAAGGTATTGGATATTAAAAGATAAGAAAAATAAATATTCATAAAATAATAGAGAAGTATAATTTTTTAATATTTTTCGTCTAAATCGATTTAATTACAATACGATTTTTAAAATTTTTAACATACGTGTAGTATCGACAAATAAACCTCAACCCACATGTGATCTAATGCATTTAAAATTTTTAAAACAATTATTCCTAATATACTATATTAGCGTTTTAATCATAGATACTTACATTATTTACTATTGTTTAAACAACACACTATTTAGCAAATGAATTTTTTTGAAGTGTATTTTGAAACGCTCAATTATAAACACATTATCAATTTCTACCTTAATTATGCAAGTAACTAATATGTATTTTTGTATAGTGCTCTTGGGTAAATGTGTAATACTGTTTTTCCTATAAATATAAAATTTGTATAAAATATTTAACAAAAATCATTTTACTGAATGTTGTTTCTTGATTTGTTTAATTAACAAGATATACACGCATTGGAAGTTTGTGTAGATATTTATAAAAGCTATTTTCTAAATTGTCAATTTTATAAAAGTTTAAATCTTCTTTTATAGAAATCTGTTGTTCACAGGTAGGTATCTGTTATTATAACCCTACAATAATAAATCTTAAAATATAATTTCACTAAAAATAACTAACTAATTTTCGTATTAAATATGAAACTATTCAAAAATATAAATTTTATTGATTGTATAATTTGTAGTATAGTTAATAGTTTAAAGTAAGAACGTGCAACATTCAAATTATCTAAATTGTTACTAAAATATTATTTGTATATTGCCACATACTTATTTTGATAGTGGGTGTACTTACAATATCGACAATATTTTATAACAACCAAAATCACACTTTTATCCATTGGTTATGTTTATTGCCTCAGTCCACAAGTTGTGGACAACATAACCATATTAATGTGGTATTTTTCATGTTCTTCTTTACTTATGATTCTAATTTTAATAATTTTATATATTATTATTATTCATAATTAATATAACTGTGTATAGATTAATACAAATATATTTTAAACGTTATTACTTTTAAAACAGTCATAAAAAACACGAGTATATACTATATAATATATATATACATCGAAGCTTTAATTAGAAATTCTTATTAACTAACTTAATTAAAAAATTTTAATTTAACGTAATGCTGTTTGCGTTTTGTCAAAAAAAAATAATAAATATATTTACATGGCTATGTAAGTGCTTAATGTGAACTTATTTGATAAACATCATGATACATTTTTCATTTAAACTACACATACGTTAATTCCCATTATTTTTTGATAACAGCTCTTTGATAATTTACTTTTTAATTTAATGATCTTGTTTCAGTTGTAGAATCTCATAACTTTTAATTCATAAAAATGAAAGTAATATGTTGCTCATTACTACACAGTTTAATGTATAAAAATAAATACAAGTACTTAACATGAGCGGTTTAAACAAGCAATAATAATTATATTCTGTTCACTTATAGAAATTAATGTTTAATAATGCGCCAGTTTGATGTATCTGCCTAATGTTGAATATTTTCAGGATTGCAATAAAGATCGCGTACTGTCGTGTGATGATTATGTTCGATTACATTATTTTGGAGAAGCTAATTGTGAAAGACCAATCACATCACTTCCATACTACAAAGTTTTTAGAAATTGTATTTCATCTTAATTTAAAAGTTGTTTTATTTTATATAGAATATTTTATAAAAAATATATAGAAATAAGAATATAATATATAGTATATTATCGTTATAATTAATATATTTATACAGTTAATTACCAATGTACCTTTGTTTAAATATTTTATTTAATTATCACCTAGAAACAATTTTACAAAATATCAATAAAAATGAATATGGTGTGATTGACTAATAAACCCAAATTGTATAGTTATTAACCATTATTTAAATTTTTTATAAAAGAAACATGACAAACCACTATGACGAAAACGAAATCCTTAGAGCCTTAGGAGTATCTTCCAACAATCTGGTAAATAATGTATTAAAGACAATGATATGGTATTTGTTTAAGTACCTATATATAAGTTACAACTATACAATAGATTTTATTTTTTTATTTTGATAGCTAGAAAAATCTATAAGTTCAGTTCAAAGACATGATAAAAGATCAAAACGTATGGGTTTTAATAATATTTATCGGATAGTTCGTAGAGAAATGTTAAGTAGACCAATGTGTAGAAAATTGCGACCATGGCCAGATCCAAGACTAGAGGTCAATTATGATTATTGATTGATAAATAAAAAATTTAAATATCTTTATAGGTAATGTCATGTGTAGGGACCTTTTGTGATTTCTCCTGCGGCTCTCAAAGCCAAACTTACAGATAGATTGGAATATTTAGCATTGCCAAAAAAAGAAAACGTTTATTGGGAAAGCTATTACTCTTCAACTGTAAAACCAGAAAAATATAAAAACAAAAACAAAATAATAAGTGGCAGGTTAATTGAACTGTCTCAGCCAAAACCATTCATAGATGATATGTAATATACATAAAACATAAATAACTAATAGAAATAAATTTAATATGTATATTTTATATTTTTAATGATCAAAAGAGATAAAAAAATTGTACGAACACATTTTAAAAGCAAAACTGAATGGCTTGCTTATTTGGAAAAACTTAAAATATTTGGTGCAGCCAGACGACCACCGCCAAGTCCGCTAGAACCAGTATTATATGGACTGTTTGATATGGTATTAAACTATAATCTATAATTCATCTTTTAATTTGTTTAGAAAAGAATCAAAAAACCATTAAAATCAATAGTGACGTATTTGGAATTGTTATCCCAACCTGTCAATCGTCCCCAGAACACCAATGAAAAGACAATTGAAGAATTAAACACTGTAACAAATACAGTTGTCTAAAGTGTGCCTATTTATTTTTATTTAGCTATAACATTTTTTTAGATTAAAAGTTCGGCTCTAAAATATAACGCCAGTGATAGAATTAAAAAATTAGCTGTTGCCAAGCAATTAAATGAACAGACTTTAATGGATTTAAATTACGATCCACGAGATAAACTTATTAATGCGAAAAAATACATTGGTAACTTATTTCATTATAATATGAAAATCTCAAAAGTTATATTTATTTAAAAAAAATAATTAATATGGTAAATAGATATTTATATTTAAATATTTTACTTTGTACTAAGTTATACAAGTTTTTTTATACAGTTTTTTATTAACAAAATTATAAATTTGCAAATAATTGAGATCTGTATTTAAAACATTATAAACTAGTGCGTGGTCTTTTGATATTTTAATATTATAAATAATATATTATTCATATTATTATGTATATACAAACCTGTATATAATTATTGCAAATCAAAATCAAATATGTAATAATAAATAATGATTATAGTAGGTAGTTAATTTATTTAAATTATGTCAGCCTTGAATTAGATCATATAAATACTAAGTACTAATAGTTGATAGCATTTTAAATATATCTTCCTTTATACTTATTCCAATTAATAATATTTCCTTGAAAATTTTTTTATTTTCAAATATTGAGATATTTATTTATTCCCTTGTGTCATTTTATTCTCGCATCAGTAATATTTTTACTTAAAAGATAATTTTAGTTGTTTAAGATAAACTTTTTTACACATTAAAGTTCTATATTATTACTGAAAAAACTATCACTAAACGTATATTTTTTGTAATTTAGTTTAATTTATTTAATATACATAATGTGTCTTACATGGTTTTCTACACATACTGCACATGTGTATAATATGTTGTGTAACGTAGTATACAAAACAAATGTTTTTTCTCAGTCTTCAAACACCAATATTGATTAAAATATATATATATATATAATATTAAAACTTATATTTGGTATTGATTTAAAGTTTAAAATTATTATTTTAAAGCTCAACAAAGTCTTTAAAACGAATTTTTAAAGAATTGGCAATACATTTTATGAAAATATATTTATTTTTGTCCTATGTATATTCGCAGCTACAGATAGGATCAAAGAACTGTCAATACCAAAAGTTAGAGAAACGCCAAAAAAAATTGAAGTTAAAACAGATGCATTTTCAGTCAATCCAAATGCTTTAAAAGCTTGGTGTTCACCGAGAATAAAGCGATTGGCTAAACCTATCATAAGAGATTAAAATACCATACAACTATAAAACGACTAATATTTTTCTACAATAACAAATTATACAGACATTCAATCTATTTTATAAATACAATTACTAATATTGTTTTGCAAACAATTTGATTAACGTTTAATAACTTTAAACCTATGTACAGATTGTGGCAGAAATAGCTGATAACTGTAATTAATTAATTATGTGCTCAATAACTTTAATCTTATAATTTATATGTTTTACTTGTTAAGATTATACTTAAACTTAAAATAATAATAATGGTAAAAATAAAGTTATTAAATATCTAGTTATTTAATAACATTTGTTATCTATTTTTATTATATTTTGTATAGTAACTAACAACAGGTGTTAAAAATTTAAGAATAGACTAGTATTACTTTTTACTAATAATCGATACTTTGTAATAAATCATTATGTTTATATACAATTTATTATCAAAACATTTAAAAACAACATTTTAGTCAAATACCATAGCCAATATACAATTTTACAATGAATAACTAATAATAATTAATAACAAATAGTTAATAAACTAATAACTTAGTTCCTATTAAATAGTTTTTAAAAAAGGAGAAAATAAGTAAAATAGTAAAACCTACTAAATACAATTTAAAATTAAAAATAATGTAAAAGATCAGTTTCTAGACATTTAGAGAAAAACGTTCAAACCATTGGCATGATTATATAATAAATTAATAACTATATATACCTACAATTGTATCTATTTGATTTACCAAAACATATAATTGCTGTTAGAAAATATTATAGTAATTAAATGATAAATATTGGCTAGAATAACATTTATTTAATTTAATATTTATGAAGTATAAACAAATAACAATCGCATTCGAAATATTTTTTTTAGTTGATTATCATGCTATTTTTCCATTACCTATTTATATGGTTTTTATTTTTACAATATCAATTTAATTATCAGTTTTGGAATAAAAAATGTATCAGTTCTATATCAGCTCGTCCATAGTTAAAATGGTACATCGTCATGATACAATAGATGAATCGCAAATCATAGACCATGTTTTTGAGTTTTTGAAAAGCAATGAGAAAGAAAAATGTGTTTTTAGCGTTTAGATAAAATGTCTCGTGCATATCTTTTTGATTGTCCACCATCGTCGATTCTAATAATATATCATGTTATGATGATTGTTAAGAGTCAACATATTCCTTAGAGTACTTGTCATATTTAACCGACCGATAAATACGAGTATACTAAAGAAGTTGTCACACTTGACCTAAATCTGGATATTTCTCTGGACCTCTCTGGCATCCAATTCACATAAATCTGATTGTATCCCAAGTGGCATAATATCAGTAATACAATATTGCCCTCAAATACAGATAAGTTTAAGAGACTATATAGCTACTGTATAAACGCTATATATAAATAATTTGTAATATTGTTTAATGTTAACATGATAGTATAAGCCAATACAAAATTATTGTGCCAATTAATAGTTTGAACCATTATAATACCTACAATATAAGTTTTTCAGCTCAAATTATATTTATTTAAATCTACTGTAAAATAAAATCTGAAACCAGCCGATTTCCGTCTGTCTTAATTGAAATTGATGGTCGTATTCTTAGTAAAATTATGCACTCAATTAATAAATAATAATAATATATTATGTATTAAACTAACCTCACCTTTTTAGTAAATTTTAATATACATATTCAATATAATATTTTTTTTACACCAAAAATCATTTTTGAAAGTTACATTTGTTTTAAAAATTTATCATGTGAAGTACAAATATACATTATTTATTTAAAAATGTTTAAGTAGTTTGTTGATTAGACAAAACCAATTGAGCTCTAATAAATTAGAAAACTCAAACGAAATTTGTTTCTAGAGACAATATTTCATTAAAAAAAATGTATAACTGTTATATAGAGTTGGAAAACTTTTAAAATATAATTAAAATTTAAAATGTTCAATATTAATTTACGTTAACATTTCTTTTTTATTGTTCTAATAAGTTTAAGAGTTTAAATATACATTTCAAAATGTATCAGTTCTCAGTAAAGAATTAAATAATTATTCGTTCGGCTAAACTGGTTTTAATTAAATTTATTCTGTGGTTTGGAGGGTCCTTAGATAGTTTAGATTTACAATTTGGTCAGGAAAGTGGTACTTCAATTTGATTATAGGAAGTTTTGAAATAGATTTGTCTTGAATAATATATGTATGAATCTTAGATGCTAATGATTTTGGAAACCACGCATTCGAACGTCGTGCGGTTTTAGCACTTAATGGAGCAAATTTTAAGCATAGTTTAATAATCTAACACTAACCGAAATAAAATATAAGTATTTCAATAGCACCATTTGTCCAAAAAAATTGAATTTAAATTTATTGCGAAAAATGGTAAAACACTGTATCCTAAATGAAGTCAAACTTAATGCAGCCAAAATAATTTTCAATATTATATAAACTTAAATTTTTAAAATAATGATTATAAAAATCTGTTAAAAATATTAACGATTTGATAGTGAAATTGATAAAGAACCGAAATACAAAGATATATACATTTTTAAATGAATTGGCATATATGCATATATAGGTATAAAATAGGTACCATGTCGTTTGTGAATGACGAGTATAAATAACAGATTTAACTAAGTTTAAACCACATAAAAGGCGTAATTTTAATGAGCAACGAAGTGTACGAGAATAACCTCTATGTTGCTTGCTCCCGTGTAAATTCAGAAAATAGTTTATACATCCATGACCCTGATCGTAAAATTGAATAATTAAATTACTTTTAAAAAGAAAAGTCTAATAATACGATACCGCCCCTTCTTGCAAAAAATAATTTTTGAAAGATGCTACTTTTAAATGGTCAAAAAAAAAAAATTACTCGAACAACGCTGAGCGGGACAGCTATATACTATTTGATATGTTAAAAATATCATCTATGCATAAAATCAGTAAACCAAAATTATTATTTATCTACACGCATTAAACTATAATATGTAAACATAAGTAATCAAATCAACCAAATTTAACATAAATACATTTTATACAAACACCAAAGTGCACGGGAACAACTAGCTTATTATAATTAGTTATTTTTAAATTAAATATAATATTACATTTTACAATAATACGAGTATGTTCTTTCAAATTTTAAAAAAAATGACCGACGATTGGAACGAACAATAGATTTATATCGACTACAGTTCTCTGTTTGAAACCACTAATATTAATTAGTATAAATGTGTGTATCTACGTAATATCTATACGACAACTCACGTCATAATAATGAAAAGCAAAAAAATAAAATATGTAAGTAATCCTAATGGTCTTCTGACCAAGATAAGTATAAATAGTATATTTATACTAATAAAAAAAAAAAAAAAATAGTACAATTTGACAAATAACTCAATAGTTATAGACGTTATTTAAATAAATACCATTTAAAATGTATAAGATTCTCAAAAATCTAAATATTCGAAAAATATTTTTTTTATTTAATTAAGAATAAGCCTGACAACCAATAAATTTTAATTAAAATAAAAAAAATATGTAAATACATAAAAATCTTAACCATGGTTGTTATAAATAAGTAATGGAAAATTTTTGCTTTTAACCCTCTAAAGTACCAATAAGATCTTATTTACTATCAGAAAACATCTTTATAGTTGAAAAATGAAAATTAAAGCGTTTTTATTACACCAAAAGGTGATGATAGGCACAAAAAAAAATTTAATAAAAACACACATCATTGTTAAATTAATATATTCATTGATTCGTTAAAAATCTAAAAGAAGGTACATGTCGTTTTTAATAACATTTTATAAATTGATTTATCCATGTGTTTCAATATATCAATGATGATATTAATATTAAGTGTTAAATAATAATTATTTAACACTTATTTTTAAAATATAATTTAATTTAACATAAAACTTAAATTTCAATATTTAAATAAGAAAACGTAGGTATACACAATTATTTTAATATTTACAAAAAAAAAAAAATGTAATTTAATTGAAATTATCAAAAATTAAGCTTGATAATCGACCTTTAGATACAATATATTTAATGTATATCATTGTTAAAATAACCAATTAAGTAACCAAATCGTATTAACTCTAAAAATTAAAATGTTGAAAAACTATGTATGAATTATCGCAATTACCAGATATTACAGAGTTTTTAATTACCTAGCATTATAATTTATTGTAGTATAATGATATCATAATATTAATTTTGCATATCATAAAATACCATACCATGACCAATAATTTATATTGAACCGGGCCATATTCAATTTACCTTCTTATTATAATTAATTTCATATTTTTTTTTTTTTTGTACAAAATATACAATTTGGTATAATGAGCATGAGTGAATTTACAGATTTAAATTATAAAGTCGTGGGTGAATTTTACTAAAAAATGCATATATTATATACAAGTTTAATAATTATAACTACAGAAAACAAAGATCTAATTTTAAAAATATCTGTTTTAATACAATTTTTAATAATATAGTTTAAATAAATAAATAAAAATATTGTGTCTTATGACATCCGATGACAAAACATTTAAGCATTAAAACAACTTTGTTGTATATATACGTACTTACACTTTTATTAGTATTCAAGTTACTTGTTAAAACATAGTATTCTTAATTCATACATATTTTTAAACATTATGGTTCATATTTGGTTTATGCTTTCAAATTATAATGTAAGCCATATTTAAAAACCGTTTATATTGCTTAAGTATAATATTATAGTATGGACAATTATTGGACATATTATATTTATTCTTTTTATTAAAAAATTATGACAGTCTGCCATTAGAGTTTAATTATAGAACTTTTTTCATAACCTTAAGTTTTATGTTAATTGTTTCATTTTTCGAAACTCAACACAGACTCTTCTTCAGTTTTATTCTCATCTCTAATATCAGCTTGAATCAACAACCATTTGCCTAAACATTTAAATGAATCTTGACGATGTCTTTTTGACACGAAGTACAAACCCTCAATTAAAAGTTGTCCCAGTGATACTTTAGTTTCTTCTAATATCAGTTCCATGGCTTCTTTATATGCTGACTCATTACTCATTTGCTTTTCAGTCATGTAGTTACCTAGATAAATCACGACTACAATAAACATTTGTTAATACTATTAATATGAGAGTGTAAATGTACGTGATTTGTTTTGACGAATTATTCGAGTCATGGCATCAGTGTTTAATGACCCCGTGGGCGACGAATCAACTATTTCAGAACCATCTAAAACATAATATTAGATTCATAAACTACACAAATACTGAAATTTTATGATGATTACAGCTATCACTAAAGTCATCAAAATTAAAATTCTGCATAAAAGCAACATCGTTCCATACTTCTTTGGCTGACAAGTTGGAAGTGGACACCACGGAATTAATATTTAGTGAAACTTCTTGTTCTTCAAAATATTCTCTATACCCAAATCAAAATAAATAATTATTTTTACAAGAAACATTATATGCAAGACTAGAATTCCCTAGTAAAATGATTTTAATACCTGATAAACATTAAATATTTATTAATTAAATTAAATAGAATAATCTTATGAATTATCCATCCCAGTGAGTTAATTTTAAATCTAATGAAAATAAATATATCTAAAAATTTAATTAATTACTAAAAAAAAAAAAAAATAGTTGAATAATTACCACTTTACTATATATTAAGAATTAAAATACTATTATAGGTGCATTAAATTTAAATTCAAATGTATATCATTATATATGAAATAAAAAATTTTGAACGGAAACAGTCTGTCAGCCTATATTACTTAGTATCTGCTTTTTTTTTATTATGATTATGTATAGCTATTAAAGTCATTTATTTTACTTTTGGTATTATAATTAATAGTGTGTTCATAACATTTTTTTCCAAAAATATTGCATTTAATAATTATGTTATTGTTATTTAATTATCATAACACATTATATAACTTAAGATTGCATAATATTTTTTTGTAAATACCGTAAATCGGAAAAAAATAGAAAATTATACCTTTAAAGAAATCAAAAATGTCATTGCGTATAGTAAAATACTAAAATGTATAATAATATAACAAATGTGAAGGTCTTGAGTTTTACAAATAATGTTTATAAATTATAATAAAATAATTAACATCATTATTTATAATTTAAATAAGTGATTACGTCCAAATTTTAACTTAAAATGTCTATAAAAATAACTGCCTTTATGTATTACATTTTATGATTTTAGTTTAATGTTTATATTAAATTTTTAAAACTTGGATATAAAAAAAAGTTTTTTTTATGAATTTTTAACTATAAAATAATTTGAAATTTTTTGTGATTTGACAAATTCTATTAAAATTCTAACTTCAAGTGCATTTAAAAAAAAAAATGTACCTATTTATTTTTAATACTTAAATACTGATAAAAAAAAAATATGTGGAATCTTGTATTCAATTTTCAAGTATTTTTAATCAGCGAATAATTGTCGATCGATATTTCTACAAAAACTTAAAGAAATGAAAAATGTTCATGTCTATAAATAGCTCAAAAATACAAGTAATTAAAATATTTTGAAAATTTTATCATAAAAAAATATATATATGATGATACAAACATTCGATGAAAATTTCTAATATCTAAAATAATTCATTTTCGAGATACATAAAAAAAAACAAAATCAATTTTACCGGAAATTGGATTTACGTAAATATCCCCGTTTTCCTTATTTTTATTTTTTGTTTTTCTTAATAATTATAAAATGTACTTTTAAGAATTTTTTGCTTTTTACCCCCTTAAAGTATTAACAAGATCAAACTTGCTACCAGAAACCACCCATATTTTTAAAAATCACTCAGAATTTAAAACAATATGGTATTTAATATTGTGTAATATAATATTGAAGCATTTATACTTATAAGAACAGCATTCGAATTCATGCTCATTGCCACTTTGGTTTTCATTTACATTTTCTTTATTATAAGTAAAATTGTCGATATCAACTTTTAATGATTTGTTCAATTCATCAACATTAGAGATTGTACGTGATAGTCGAGATCCAAAATCGTTAGCTATATCGTTATTTGTTTCAAAAGACATGTTAAGTTCGTGTTGAGTTTTACTATTAAAACTGGACACCTCGAACGATTCTCTACCAATTTGATTCTCTACCATACTTTCAGTTATATTTTCCTGATGGTTTTCTAATTCTTTTTCTTCTTCTTCGAATATCTGGACACTATTAAACGATTCATTAGGAAGGTATCGTTTTTCTTCGACATAATCGGTTTCTTCAGTATCTTGATCGGTAATTTCTTGTATATTATCTAGATATTCTATTACTTCTGCTTCGTTTTTATAAGTTTTATCTAATATATTTTCTGATTCCGTGTTTAACGGAATATTATCATCGTTAACCATTGAATTTACTATGGATTTAGTAAATGTATAAAATGATTTTTTCGACCATTCTGGTGATGTAAATATTTTTAATATTTCTAAATCCTGCTGTGTAAATTTTCTAATTTTTTTATTATTCATGAATTCTTTTTTATTCGTTATTTCTTTTGAATATTGTAGTAACATTTCAGCAGATATTATCTTTTTGTGATTTTTAGTATTTAATTCATTGCGACCGTTTAGTTCTCTCTTTAAACTTGATGTCGAATTGTATACGCTTTGGTGACTGGAACGATTCTGTTCGACATTTTTATCTGGATTTGATGATGAAGATTTATATAATAGCTGGTTTTGTATTGTGTTTTGAGCCATTGTTTATTTAAACCACAAATCTTATTAACAAAATCAAAAAAAAAAAAAAAAACTCAAAATGCGTATGTTAAATATAAATAGTTTCCTAGCAATAAATGTTGCTTATTAATTTTAGTATTACGTATAATTTTAATCAATATAATATTTATCATGTTTCTTCTCTAACATGAGCAAATACTTTCTGACTGATTATCATTCATTGGACGTCTATAAAACCAACATAATAATATGAGGTTTGCATTCGATATTATTTTAATGCATTTCTTTCATCAAAAAGTGAAAGTTATACAAGTGTATACTGTATACACATTTTGGATATAAATGTATTGTACGTAGCTGCGTAAATCCTACAATAAACTCACATATTATGACGTATACATTATTGTATCTTAAGCTTGTGACATATTACGCCATTTAAAGGTGAAAAAATCTTAAAATCATAATATATTATATGAGTATAAGTCACTAAAATTCAATATCGTTTCGATTAAATACAAACAAATATGATATAGATATACACCAGCTATTAATGAAATATATATGTTTATTAATATTTTATACTGTATTGTTAATAGTTTAAATATGATAAATTAAAAACGAGGCTCTTCCTGTATGCGTTATTCAATTTTTTAAATCAATTATTTTAGATCTAAGATACAATTTATCACATAAAGACAATTGTATGTAATATTTTATAAAGTTTATAAAGCAAATATAAAAATATAGTCAAATTCATCATTGATATACTTAAAAAACGTACGTACTCAGGCAAACATCTTTACAGAGATTTTGTATAAAATATAAAATATTGCAGTTTAAAAAGAAAAATCAGTTTAAAAGTTTAGGTGTTAGAATAAAACTCGACTACATTATTCTTTTTATAATAAAAAATATTTTAACGTTTTAATTGAATTTATTTATTGAAGATCGGTATACAAAAAAATTATTACCTAATCATCATAATTTGGTTAAATTAAAATACTTTTTATATTCATGCTAATGAATTCAAGAAAATGAATTTTATTTTATTTTTTAGATAATTAAGTTTTAAATCTACAATTACCAATTTTAAATAAACATATTTAAATCTATTTATTTAAGTTGAATGAATATTTTTATTCCGGAACTTTTTCAAATGCATATTAAATTTCAAAGATTTCTGACGGAGAAGTCGTTTTTAATATTTATTTATTTCATGAATACAATTCAAACCATAGCACATTAAATTAAATATATGTTTGATAGTATAATCATTAAAGTAAATGTATTGAGGAAGCGTTCGAAACCGTTTGTGCCCGCCTATCCATTTGGTATTTCGATTAGTCATTATTTATTTTATTCATTTTGTATAATATTATTTTAAACAAAATCGTTGTACTCGTATACCTATAATAAATAGTGCAAGTAATGTGGAGTGATACAAATAGTAAATTACTAATTATATAACACACACATTCTTGGTATACATTTGTTTTTAATTCCCTCAAGGCTAACATAAACCCGAATAGATTAATGAAATACCTCCCTCGTGTGTACCTATGCTACATCATGAACAAAAAAAAAACGAGTTGATGTTCGATCGGTAGAGGTCGTATCATATTTTTTGCGATGGACAATGGGTGGAGAAAACGTACGATGGCTATTTAACCACGAATCAATTCCGTTCCATTGCCGATGAAGACGTTCAACTTGATCGTACGCACATCAAATAGAGACATCATAATGAACCACTTCAAAGTATTCACTGTGAGTATATTATTATTTAAGATAATACCAATTTATCTCAATCTCCGATTAATAAAACGAATTTATCGATTTAATATTCGACGTGATTTAATAAAAAAATTGTTTTAATTCTGTCTCATTTTAATTTATTTAACGTACATTTTTTTTTTCATATACACCTTATTTCAAGGCTTTTGAACTTTTCTCGTTTCGAAGGTTACTTATATTCCATGAATTTTTAATGGTTTATATTATTATGTATTATTATAAATATCTGAGATATTTATTGTTCTCAGATGTTTTTAATATAATATATTATATTTTGATATGAATAAAACAATAAATTAATAAATAATCGTTATATTTGTAATTATACCTTTCAGTATTATAATAGTCAACGTTTTTATATAACGTAGGTACATATTTTTATTCGATTTCTATAGATAACAAAAATGTCAGCACAACAGTTAAGTACCTATAATATTTATTTAAGTACGAGTATACTTATAAATTACATAATATACACTGTATGAGAATATTATAAAAAAATATATCGATGATATTATTTCAATGACTACAAATATCAGTTTATTATTTTGTTTTCAATTTCTATAAAAAAAAAAAAAACGAGTTCTAGACTCTAGATATCGTTAATTCCCAGCCAAATGTCACCAATGGGTGATTTCTTAATTCAAAATATTCATGTTATTATTGTAATATCACATATACTTATTGTGCTGTGTTGTACAGATTGTGTATATTAAATTGTAAAATAAAAATAAAAAAAGTTTTATATTCATTTTTCGAGTATTAAATATACAGTCGGAGTAATACAATTAACACAGATGATACCCCAATCTTCATACGCCTATTTTTATATAATATCTATACCTATTATACGAGACATATTTTTTTTTGTCATTTTTCGTATTATATACGTACGTGTTTCAGTTTAGAACACGTGTGGACTTCGTCTTTTTTATTCACGAACAAAAATGATCATTCAATATCTAGGCATTACATGTTTAAAAAAAATCCTGAACTTGCATTGTGACTCAGATAATGTTTTAATTATAATGTCATAACTCATGGTGCAGATTAGATCGCTTTAGATATTTTACACAATTAAGATATTTATACTTAATATAATGATAATAATATAAATCTTACAATAAAACGAAGAGGGATATGTTCTCATTTAAATACCGTTTTGATTCTGATTAAAATGTTCGTACTTGCTACCCCTATAATAAATTTCATATTAAACACATACCAAAATAAGCCCAATAACACGCGCATGAAGTTAAGGTTATGACGTTATTACGTACTTATATGATACCTGTTTTTTTTTTTTTTATATGAACGGTATATGGGTGAACTAATGGTGGACATTCCATGAAATTTATTTTGCTCCCCAAATAAAAAATTAATTGTTTAGATTAAATTTTTTTTATTTATTTTTTTTTTTATGTTAAGGTTTTCATTATAGTCTTAATTTTGCCTTTAATTTATATAGATAGACATAAATATTAATTTAGCTCCCAAAGTAAACTTCAAATGTGCCCCACTAAAAATATTAATTGATGTTGCCTAACATACGGTGCATAGTTTTATCAACATTATATTACATTTTTTTTTACCTACCTAACAATACCGAGCGACGTAAATCATTCACCCTACGCGTTGACACATCTGTACACTCCGTGGACACCCATTTCACGTGTTGTTTTTTGTTTGTTTCGAATCGCAGGCGCTAGCGGCTTTCTGTGCGTGCGGCGCACTTGCCACGCCGGCCGGTCACCACACGGTCATACCAATCCTGAAACAGGTGAACCGGCAGAACGAAGATGGTTCGTATAGCTATGGTTACGAAAACGCGGACGGCACGTACAAGATCGAGACCAAATATCCGTCAGGTGAAGTGTATGGCAAGTACGGTTACGTGGACGAGACGGGCAAACTTCGGACCGTCGAGTATGGCGCGTCCGCTCGCGGCTTTGAGCCAGTCGGCACCGACATCACCGTACCGCCACCCGTTTTAGGCGTCGACTCCAATGACCTGCACAAGGACCCATCTTCGTCGCAGGACGATTACGACGACGGACAGTACCGTGAGGACCCGAGCGTGTACTACAAAACGTCGTCGGACAATCAACAGCTCAGTCACCACCAGCAACAGCAACAACACCACCAGCAGCAACTGCAACACCACCAACAGCAACAGCAGCAGCAACTGCGATCCCTGCAGCAAGCCGCACCCGTAGCACCCAGGCAACAACAGCAGTGGTTCTCTGGCAGTGCACAGCAGAAAGTCAGGCCTGACTTCAATCAGTTCCAGACTCATCCGTCCGTGCACAACTTTGATCCCGCATCCGGATCGTTCTCCATCTCGTACACGGGAAAGTGATCGTGGACGAGTGGTCAAAGGCGATCGTCGCGATAACATCGAATAAAGTGTAATATTGTACTTATCATTATTAGTTTTGTGTACGGTTTTTTTTTCACTATTTTTATATTATATTCTAAGTATTTTATAAGTTTTTTTTTATATATAAAAATCAATAAAAATAATCTTTGTTGCCTTAATTACACGTTATAATATTTGCTACAGCGTTCGGTTTATCGTTCGCTTGTAATATAATTATGGTAACCCAATTACCCGACCCACGGTATACCCAACTATACCATGTACTATTATACGACGTCGACGTCAGTCCGTACAGAATATAATAATAATTAATTATTATAAAGCAGGGTGTACACTATTGTACCATGCCGTGTCGAGTATGATGTATTTAACACGTAGGTGTAAACAAAGTGTTGGTAACACGAATTACCAACAATTCGAATAATTATATTGTATTTAACTCTATACGTCACGGTGATGTGGACTTAATACACTTACACGCGCACAATCCTCAAATTACAATAACGTGCTCGCTCGTAGACCAGGAACTGACGCACGCGTTAAAGGCGTTGTCAGTTTTTGAACCGTTTTGTCGTTTGCCTTGATAAGCTTTGTTCGGTGAATCGAAAATAACAAAATATGCAAAAAAAAAATTATCTTTAACTAGTCTAAACGCTTTTTCCCCAGGGCGTTTCGGCATTGAAACGAAAGCGCGGACAACACCCATCCTTGACATTCATCTCGAATGTTCCAAAACTCTATAGTACATTAATACTTATAATATATAATATATTATCATCATCATTGCATTAAAAATAGAACACATAAATATTTATACAGATGGATTTTAAGCGGCAATCATTATAGTGTGTTGTTATTACTGTTTTTTTTTTGCATTAAATTTAGCTATTCTTTGAGGAGACAAAAACAACTCGTTTGATTGCAGAGGGTTTATGGTGAAAGGCAAAGAACAAAAAATCACTACATACGACGGTATCCGACCGGCCTTGGCGTCACCCTTACGTGTCTTTTGGAGGGGTTACTTGTTTAAGACCTTTTAAGTGTAGATATTATATTTATTCGCCAGTTTATTGTAAGAGAACAACCAGAACCATGATGCTAGTCAGATCAGTGGTAAGTACGGTATGCAAATATTATTTCATTGTGTTCAGTTATACCACGTAATATTATACTTATATTATATAACTACTCAGGATATTGATTTTATTTTTTACAGTATTAAACGACTTGGTTATTTAAATATAGGGTACATAATATTAAATAAATATGTACCAGCAAATCGTCGCAGGGACTTATTTTTTTTTTTTATTATTAACAGTTCATAATGAATAAACAACTAATTTTTGTATGGATTTTGTTTAAAATGTTGATATTCATAATATGATGTATTTTATAGGTATGAAATTTTTTTTATTTTTCATTACGCTCCAATATGTTAGTGCACAAAACAGTTTCACTAATATTCTTGTTTACGTTCAATGTACAATATATACTTATAATCTTGCATATATCATATAAATTAAAATCGGGGAAAAAACCACCACCTGACAAGACGTGTTTAAATACGAAATAGCGAGATAAATATATTATACTAAAAGTTTTACTGAAACTTTGGAGGAGTCATTCACTATATATTTAACGATTTGTATGTTACATTATTTTTCTAACACGCGTTTTGTGATCGCATTTGACAAAAGCGTCCTAAGGCTCGTTGTGGGTTATCCACCTCGATCGTCATTCTTTTGAAAATCTCAGCGGTGTATGACCTCGCCATCAACCGATTCTCACGATCAGACAATTGTGAAATTAATCAACAGGTGTGCACGCGCACGGGAGGTCTGACCTGGCGCCTGTGCACCATCATCGGCAGCACGTATCGGCAGCCGTATATTATAATAATATATATATATATATATTAGCCATCCTTTTGTATTGAAAATAATGAACGCACTGACTAAAGTTTTGTTTTTTTTTTTTAACATTTTTTTTTTTTTTCAATTTGCAGATAATTGTGCTGTTGGGCTTATGTACATGCTACGGTCAAAATGCCGAAGACTACAATGAGGGTAACGACCAATCTGTAGTATCGGTGCAAAAAAGTAAAGATGTATCTATACTTAAACAGATCCACAGGTAATGTGCTCCACATACTATAATATTATCAAAATATAAATTAACGTTAACATACATTGTTTTTAAAAATTAATTCAAAATTACCTAAACGGGACGTATTATACAATTTTTATAGTGTATGTTATATTGCATGTTAGTAAGAATAATATTTTAAATTACAAGTGCACACTATAGGTAGGTATATAATATACATATACTTAAGATCATTTTCCATATAGCTTATATATTTTATTCTGTATGAAAAAAGACGAATTAAAATTTAATGTTTTTAACAATTTCTTCCCTTTCAACAATCACATTTTATTTATAACATATATGATGCTTATTCAAAAAAAAAAAAAAAATTACATAATACTAATAATTTTTGCAGTCTAAATGAGCCTAGTTGCCGTTTTAGTTGTTAAAAACTGTGTATTTAAAAAAAATATTAACTCAATGTTAAATAGAAAGTAAAATTTTATCCTCTTTACTATAATAAAATAATTTTCTATTTATTTAAAAATGTTTATGCAGTACTTGGTTTACATATGAAACTAGCTTTATTTAACTATAATATTATATTATTAGAAAATAAATGTGGAATAAATTTGTGTTATTTTTCGTAGTAAATTTTACAAAAATGATAAATAATTCATTATTTATAAAGTAAAAGATTTAAAAATCTTTAAAACTATTTATAAATTACATAAATTGATATAATTTTTAACCTTGTATTTAATTTAATTATGTAGTACAACTTTTATAATTCTACTAGTTGATAACTTATTACTACCTACTACTTACATACCTATTATTTATTTCAATTTAAACAGACTAATCACTATTTAAAATATATAGGACGTAAATTATACATAGCAATTGACTTACTAAATAAGTCTTATTCGTTACATAATAATTAGTTTAATTTACTAAATTTTCTAAACGAAGCGGAAATCGTGAGTTTAAGTTTACGTAATGATTCAAAACTAATTTAGTTTTAGATGAATAACCAAGATGACAATATTGTCACTTACTTAAGTGCACTCTTATCAAGAAATAGATATTTTTTTTTCAAATATCACAAATTATACTAAGAAAACAGAAAAAAAGCTTAACTAACTTATTTTTGATTGTTAAGATCGGGATCTTACACATAGTATTGACGAAGTTATCATCATAAAATGAATATAGCTTCAAATAGCGATACACTGAAGTATTGTGTGAGAATATTATAATTGAGATTAGATTATCTGTTCCTTATTATGATGCTTTTTATTTAAAAATTTAATTACATTTCGATATTATACGATATTATGGATATCTACTTTGTGTTTAATCAACTGATACAGTACAAATTACAAGCTATTCAAAGAAGAATTAATGGAATAGTTCGTTAAGATTCAAAGTCTAGACAGTTTGGAAGGTCAAATTTAGATTACACAACAATAAAAATAAACAAATAAAATCACTGAAAACCAAATATTTTTGCTCGTTATCATTATAACAACTTCCATAATTTCTCGTCGTTTATACCCTCGGTTACATGTGTCACGATAGTAGTCTGTTTATTCATCGTAAATGTTATATCGTAAAGATAATATTATTGCATAAATAAATTCTTCTTGAAATTTATGATGATAATATAAAGTAAAATGACCTGCTTAAACGATAACATTGTAAATAATAATTTTATTTTATTAGTTCGTTAATATTAAAAAGTATATTTATCAGAAATCGTAAGCTACTAATTTTTAAATTGTAATTTAAATTTAATTTTCCGTGAATATTAAAATTCAAAACATAACACTTCATAACATATGCATTTGATACTCGTGAAATGACGCAACGTTTACAAATCTCACTTGCACGTACACAAAATTATCTAATACATATATGTTTCCTGTAAGGAAATTATAACCCTGGGAATTCCAAAACAATGTGATTTTTATGTAAAATTTCTGGGACGAGCGGCGGTTGCCGTGTACAAAGTTTCACCGTGTATAAACTATGCACGAAAATCTGAGAACACGCAATAAAAATAATAATTTTACGATAAACATAACAATTAATAATTATTATTTCGTGTGATCTTTTTTTCATCCAATTTTACAACTACTGCAAGATTTACTCACAAGAGTAAATTATTATGACGTATTATAGTATGTACGAATACATATTATTATACGTACACCGGAAATATTTTAGCATCAAGGTATATTTTTCATGCTTTTAGTATAGGTACAAAATCATAAACTAAGTTGAGGGAGTTATGTGGATCCAATTCTTACTTCAATTTTGCAACACGATAATACTATATTAGAAAGAACCGCGTATGATGTCCTACTCTTACCTTGACGCGTTAAACAAAACACAAAAAGACAAAACAAAATAGCTAAAAATATTAATTTGGCGCGTAATTCCTTGGGATCAGTAACTTAAATAGTTTTATTTTTTTATATACTTTATAGACACAACGAAGATGGATCATACACTTACGGGTACGAGGGTTCGGACGGATCGTTCAAGATCGAAACCAAGACGGTGACTGGTGAAGTGACGGGCAAATACGGTTATGTGGACGACTCGGGCAAGTTGCGCGTCGTCGAGTACGGAGCCAACAAGTACGGTTTCCAGCCGTCGGGTGAAGGCATAACTGTGCCATCACCCACGCTAGTGGAGTTGCGACCAGACCAAGACGAACGGGACGAAGAACCACCGGTACCAGCCAAGAGACCGTCGTCCACCAAACCTACTACGAAACCGCTGTTCCGGAACAACAACAACAGGCCCGAATCGGATGTCGGGTTGTACGGATCACAACAAAAACAACAACAACCATTACAGTCTCAGTCGATATCGGTCGCTTCCGATTTTGATGATGGTGAATGGACAGCACCGCCCGCACCCCGACAACAGCAGACAGCACCGTCTCGCCGTCCGTCGGCCACGGCAACACGTCCAAACAAGTCGGTTCCTCCGGTGTCTGGTTCGTTCATGGCCGTGCCAGTAGAGCAGTCATCGGAATTGGGTCCGTCCGCATCGTACCAGTCAGTCCAGGACTTTGGTGATAGGCGACTGACAACCGGAAACGGACGTTCGGCTCACACCTCCACCGTCGATCACTCGTATCAGACGTTCGAGGAACACCAAGAACCGCTAACGGAACCGCCAACGTTAAACCAGGCGGTCGCCAAACCCACGGCTAGGCGCACTGGAACTGCGTCATCAGCGTCCAAGCCCGTGGCGTCAAAGCTGTCCAACAGCTACCGAACGGCGCCCAGGCAAATGCGCACAAGTGGCGTTCTTGACCAACTAGCCGAACAGTACGCGCTGCCCGAGTCCCGATCGCCTGTGTCCCACGACTTTTCGTTCGGATCGGACTCATGAGTATATCAGACATCCATTTCGTTAAGCGCTTGTGTAAATATTCATGTATATTTAATATGACATTTTTATAAAATTGAAAATAAACAACGATTTTATGTGTAATATTATTGGTTGCGAAGTATGAATTTCAGGACTGGGAAAATGTTTTAAGTCCTTATCATATTTGTACACTTATTGTCCTTCCATCCCAAAGAATATTATATTACATTTTAATAATTAATTAAAATATTAAAACCAATACAACTGCATGAGTGCATAAGTTTTTCAAGCAATAATGTACAATTGTACGTTACTTTATTGCATTTTAATTATAGATTAAATTCAGTATGTAAAATAAAATATTAGCATATAATATATTATAATTGTATTAAAATATAATATTTAAAGATGACTATAGAATTATAGTGGTATTATCTTTAAAATAATTGAAACTCAAAAACTGACTGTTGTCCCAATCCAAACCGTGGAAAACAGAAAACTAGACCGTTGTCAGACAAAATATCTCAAGTAGATTATGTTATAAAGATTTGATAAAGATTGTATTTTGTCTGGACTTCATTTATTTATTATTTTAATCTTTTGGACTTCAATAAAAATTACTTTTTAACTCCTGTCTGAAATGGTTAACTCGTTAATGCACTAAAATCTCATTAATTTTTAGTAATTAATACCAAGCAAAAAAGTGTCACTTTCTTCAGAAGTGTAACTTCTTTTTATTTGGCAACGTGTGCTAATGTGCTATATATTTACAATTCACTCACACGCTTATTGTAAAAAAAAAAAATCATTAACAAATTGTATAATTTAAAAAAAAAATGGAATTATTATCTTTAAAATTTTTTTAATATTCACTGTAATCAATAGTTGCTATAGCTGCGCATTATTTAATCTACTATATGCTTATTAAATCGTTAGTATATATATATATATATATATATATATGTATAATTTTTAATTAGAAAATAATAAATTAAGGTAGGTATTGTTAATATTGTCATATTATATCATAACACAAATTCATTGTTTTAATTTTGTTTTTGACTTTATCCTTATTTATAACTTAATTTGCAAAAAAAAAAAAAATTATTACAGAGATCTTTTATAATACGTTGTTCGTTGGATAATGAGCTCATTCAATTAATATCACTCGTTTTATTTTTATCAATCTAATAGCGATGACTAGTTACATAAAAATTATATAAAAAAATTCTACTATTACAATATTAAATTTTATTGTTAAGTTATACTACAAACAACATAATTTAAAATAAATTATGGTAGAAACAATGACTTGCTATAATTGAAAAAAGAACATAGACTGTGAGATGAAAATTATAATTATTGTTGATAACAACTGTTATGACAAATTAGGTATAATAATTAAAATTACATAGATAAATAATATCTGGTAATTTTTTTGTCAATTGAAATATGATTATGAATAAATTTAATTACAATATGAAAAATTTTATTTCATTTAAAAAACTTGTTTTAATTTTGCACGCTTCTACTTTTATATTTGTATCTATTGCTATTATTATGATGGATATAACCATTAGTAAGTCGTAAATAGTAAATACACATAATTAAATACATCATACGGTAAATAATACAATGAATAATATATGACTTAATCATAAGATCATAGTTGTTAAATATGTATCTTTATTCTGCTATATAATATACCTACTTATCCGCATACATAATTTTCACAATATTAATAACTATCATATTAACCTTAACCATAATTGCATGATAAACCTTTGTCCAATAAAAGAATAGATAGTAAATAAATTATATGATAATATTTTAGAATGAAAAAATCAAATTTAATATTATATTATATATTTCATGTATTCTATGCAATTATTTAATGTTTTAACATATTCAAATCGGGATCATGATAAATTTTGATAGAATATTTCCATTTACAAAATAATATCGTATGATAAAGTATGCTAACAATACAATTTAATTAGAGGTCTCAAATTTTAACATGAATTAAGATACACGTGATCAAGTGTTTATGTTCACGTGTATTTAAAATATAAAAATCCAGTAACTTAATTCACATGTATTTAAAATATAAAATAATATTTAAAAAAATAACATGTCAATAATTTCCGTAAAAAACTAAAAACTGAAAATATTTATACCAATTATTCTAAAAATAAATGTTTTATAAACAGTATTATTATAAGAAGACGGAATGGATGGAACAACGTTTATACTATACACACAATAACAATGTGAACATTTTCTACAAACAATACGAAACGATCAGCCTATCAGCTACGACTTGATTAGTTTATTTTTGTCTCTCTTTTTTTTTTTTTTTTTAAACTGCTGTTATTTATGGAAGTCTCAATAATCGATAAGACTATCTTAGTATATGCGTAGTGTGTACTGTCGACATTAAAAGATACATTTTCTTTCTAACGAATTGCGGTGTCTAAGATTAAAAGTTGGGTTTGAAATTACGCTAAACGTGTAGGAAATAAACCTTACTGCGATTTATGCAATGAAAATTCTAATAACGAATTATCATATGTTAATATAACAACTGAAATAGTATTTCGTAATTTAAATATCAACATGAAAGTAATAAAACCAAAGGTACGTATTAAATAATATATTATGATTAGAGAATGGATTTCTAACGGAATATCAAATAATTAATATTTGTATATGTAATTTTAAATATAGCATTAAAATTATTCATAAATATTTTCCATTGGAATAATTCGTTACTCAATAACGTCTCTATGTTCACATACAAATAATAACATTTAAATTTGTTGGAATAAATTATTATTTTTAAATGATTTGTTGATAAAAGCATATTTTCTAAATAAATATAAAGACTTATTGTTTATTATATGAAATTTTAAGCAATTTAATTTTAAATAATAAATTAAAAATTAGACATATTTTTACTTTACTAGGTATCTATTTTAAAATGTATTTATTTTATTTACAATATTATAATTATTTTATTTTTTTTATAACAGAGGAAACAATGAATTTATTAATAAACAATTAAATAGCGACAATTTAGAACTATGTAACACTCAAACTAACACTTCTGTAAGCATTAAAGAAAGCATAACTAAATATTATCTTCCACAGTTTCATCTCAAAAACGATGTCGTTATAATAATTAAATAAGTGAAAGAAATAATAATTCGCCACAGTCTTAAAAAAACTGAAATTATTCATCAAGTCGTGGCTAAAATGGTGGTTTTAAATTAAATGCCTATATTATTATGTTCCAGTGATGAATTTAATTATTTTATGTCTATCATAGAATCAAATTACAAGAAAATTAAGGAGGAGGCATTAAAAAAAAGACTTAATGCACTAAAAATAGACATAAAAAAAGTATAAAAAAAATTGGGTTCAAGTCAATGTGTATCGTGTACTTCTGATTGTTAGTCAATATTGACATTGACACAACAATCATATAGCTATAAGTTCAAATATTATTGGTACACAATTATGACCAGTATCATTTGCACCAAGAACAATGAGATTATATCAAAAATCCAATCATTTAATATTGTAAAATATGGTTGAATTCGGTTTATACGATGTCGGATCGTCTTTTTATAAATAGATGTATAATATTATCTATGTGAACTGATAGAAGTAGATGAAAATACATCAAAAATATCTAGAAAATTATAGATCAAAGAAAATAAATGGTGCTTAGTAAAAATGTTGATATTTTGAAACATTAATAACATGAAACGGTTAATGTAAAAGAAGAAATTCGTTCTCACGTTAAATATTTATTAAATAACATTGTTGTTCATTAGCGACAACCACAACAATATAAATCGATGAATAATAATGAACTTAATGTTTTAAATTGTATCTATTGAAAATCTTGACGAGAATGACATAACTAGTCAGTTTTAGGATTTATTTAATTACAACATAGAATATATAATACATGTATCGTAATAAATTAATTTTCACGATTATATTAATCTATTAAATCATGCATAATATGCTAAAATTATGCTTTTTGTCCAAAATTAATAAATAACTAAAATTAAAAATCATCTTTTTAATTTTATCTATTTTTATATTAATATTATAAAATTGTTGAAGCGAAATTTATAAAATTGTGTTTTAGTTATTAATTTTGAATATGTGTTTTAAATTATATTAGATGTGTTTAAAATTTGATTAGATTTCACTATAGGTTACTGTCGAAAAAAATTGTATTCTAAAATATCAATTTTCTGTGAAGGTTCTGGTACAAAATAAATAATTAATTACCGATCACTGCCGTGTAGAAACAAGAAAACCATTTGAAGATACTAAATCTATTAAAAATCAAATTCTATATATAATAATAAACATGTGATTTAATTACAAAATTCACTGATTCACGTGATTACATACTTAGATTTTAATTTCACGTGCATCCATGAATTAAACTACACGTTAAATAGAGACATCTAAATTTTACATTATGTATTTTACTATAATTATGATTTATTTATCTTTCACTAATTGTAAACGATCTTAATCTTATAATTTAATTTACTTAATTAAAAACAGGTTTTTCAATTACCTACCAGCTTAACGAGAAATTTTAAATTATTAAATTAAAAATGTCCTATTAAATAATTGCTATAACTATAAAATTACGGTGATAATGAATTGAGTCCATGCTACTTTTATGTGTTTGAATCGATTCTAGCTTATTATCTTAATATCTTTGATTTAAGTCAGTATAGATAAAATAACACAACTTCATATATAGCCGGTGACACACAATTAGTTCATACTTAATTATTAAATTATTTCGACTGAAAAATGAAGTGTATGTTTTGATATTTACCCGTAAAATAATTATTTCTCCACAAACAATTTTTAATATTTTGATTTCCAAAAATAATAAGATAAATATGTACTTGAAATTTCCAAATTATTATTTTTAATACCTATATTATGACAACTTTTAATTTTTTTTTATTTAGTATTTTTTTATAACTGTTGATAAAAAATTAATCTCTAGGTAAAAAGTATGTTTATTTATTATTATTTTTAATATTTTTAACTTATTGACTTCTTATGATTATTATTACAATTA